TGTCTACTACTCTTTGGCCACGCAACTGTATTTAAATAGTGAAAAGAGGACAGCAATCCAAAATGGGCTGAATAAAGCTCATGAAGTGGCTGCTTTAGGCTTTCACTATGATACGAGCCACAGCTGAACATCTGTTCATAGGACCTGAACCAGCCTGTGGCATCTCTATAGGAGTCGCCAGAAAGGCAATCAGGGACTGGACAGATATGAATCACAAGAAATATTGCGGATCCTTAACTGAACTCAGGCAAGCAAAGGGACTCACACGAGGACCCTCTACTAAAAGAGTGAAGGAACTGTTCAAGTTAAACAGGAACCAGCTACGATGGGTGGTAGGATTACTTACAGGACACCGTCACCTCAAAGGACACCTTTTCAAACTGGGACTAAGTAACAGTACAACTTGTGAGAGGTGTCCAGAAGAAAATGAAACAGCCACACACATCCTGTGCAAATGTGAGGCCTTCGCTTATTTAAGATTACGTCACTTGGGTCAATATTTTATGGAACCAAGTGACTATTTTGATATCCCCATGTACAAAATCCTACACTTCATTCAAGGTGCTGGATTGCTGAGGGGATAACCAGAAGAGGAGGCACAACAGACNCAGAATATATGTCATTCATACCTGAGTTTTGTAAAAAAAACCTGAAGGAATGAGACCACTATGATGACTTAAGCATGCATGGTAAGATATTAAAATACATCTTAAAGCAATGGGATGCCAGGGTGTGGAGTGGATTCATCTGCCTCAGACAGGGACTAGATGCAGACTTGTGAATACAGCAATGAACCTTCAGTATCCATGAAATATTGGAGATTCCTTCAGTGGCTGGGACACTAAATTTCTCACATTTAGAATTATATTGTGACATGTAGACCCACTGCTTGGCAATGGATGAGTAGTGATAATGTGGGCATTCAGACACAAGTGAAACAGAGGAACAGTGTTTTCTAAGCAGTCCATGCCGAGATGTTCTAAGCAGGGCAGTTAAGGCAATCGGTCAGTTGTGAGACAGTCGCCAGCCGGTAAGAATGTGAGCACAGAAGCAGAGAACACTGTTGGGACCCATCACCAGGCAACGACTGGTGAAGACACAGCAGACTGAGAACACTTAGCACATGCTGTAGTGAACTGTAGAATGTGTGTGCATTAGCAATAGCACTACAGTTATTTGTAGTTACAATGTGAAAGTGTTCAATAAATCCAATTACCAATCCAAACTCCATCTATAGTCACTCATACACATGACAATATTTATTGAATTTTATCATCTTTATATGCTCATTACATATAGTTTTGAATGTTCACCCATTTAAGTAATATATTTTCTGGGGAAATTTTTGCATTTTAATTAATATATACAAGTCACATTTCTATGCCACTTCTTGTTTACTACAGGGTGTTTCAATGATGAACAGAAGTTTTAAAAAGATCTATACTTTTGGAAGTTTTGTTATCAACAAGTTTTATAAAGATGTATACTTTTGAAAGATATGTCACGACACAAACTTCAGTTCTGCTCCCAGCTTATAAATTTGCACAACAGCCATGCTGGCAATGCTGTTCACCAAGACGGCTTGAATCCAGTGGCATCACAACTTCATAAATATCACACAGTGTCTACAACATAGACGTCTGTAGCTGAATCCAGAATGATTGCACGGGTAGGCAGACAGATAGCCAGACATAAGCAGCTCAAGAACAGAGTTCCAATAATGGAACCTTTGAGCTCCTTCAGAGTTCTTATCATACAAAAAGCTGTGAACAGCTAAATTTTCACTCACATCTCAGAAGTCTGGATATACTTCATACAAAGAGCCATATACAATAATCCACTGAATATTTTATATGCAAAAGAATGGACATAAGCAAAATCTGATATTGCCCTTCAGGGTTCAACTATTACTGTTACATATAAATTAACGGACTTTATATGTTAGAATATAATGTTCTTATTCCGCAACAAACCATACATCAAAAATACATCCTCTTCACATTTACTAAAAGAAACAGACCTCTTTCTCCAGTTAATACTATGCACGTATATNAAGTTATTTGTTTATTTGTTTCCTCATTTAGTGTGAATTGTAAATTTTTGTTTTGTTCATTGAATTGTTTGAGTATGTGTTGTGGTGTTATTTTAGTTTGATTATAAATCATAATTATGTCATCTACGTATCTATTGTAGTAGACGATGTTTTTGTCTTCAAGTAGGTGTTTTATTTTACATTGTTCGAAGTGTTGTAGGAAGATTTCTGCCATTATGCCTGATAAAGGCGAACCCATGGCTATGCCTGATCTTGGCTTGTAGAATTTATCGTTATATTGGAAATAATTCTGGTCTAATATCGTTTTAAGTATAAGTATGATTTCATTTTTAGTGTTTCTTTCTGTGTGGTTTAGTATGAGTAGGTTTTTGGCTATGTTGAGTGTTTCATTTGTTGGAATGTTGACATATAGGTCTTTAATGTCTTCATTCATGTCTTCTTNTTACAGGACACCGTCACCTCAAAGGACACCTTTTCAAACTGGGACTAAGTAACAGTCCAACTTGTGAGAGGTGTCCAGAAGAAAATGAAACAGCCACACACATCCTGTGCAAATGTGAGGCCTTCGCTTATTTAAGATTACGTCACTTGGGTCAATATTTTATGGAACCCAGTGACTATTTCGATATCCCCATGTACAAAATCCTACACTTCATTCAAGGTGCTGGATTGCTGAGGGGATAACCAGAAGAGGAGGCACAACAGACCACTGTGGTCATGGTGCAAGGGCCAAGAAGACCCACCCCTTATACATTCGTTCATTCATGATACGAGCCAAGGTCACTGCTAGCACAAAAAGATGGTGACATACAGGAAAGCTCGGCTGCTTGTGGAAATAAGATCTAAAAGTTTGTGATGGTGGTATATTAACACAATTATTGAGTTTCTGGATGGAATCCATCGTCTCATTTTTATTTAAAACGTTTCAGTGTCCACACTTTACCCTCAGACAAAAAGCCTATTCAATTGTCACAAATTACAGAGCTGGTCCAGTGATGTGGACAAACTATTCTGATTAGGCCCAACTGAGCATGGGCTTTTTACCTGAGGACAGTGGTAATTGTCTTAAATAAAAACAGGCTGAAGACTAACATCCAAAATCAACAGCTGCTTCTGCAAAGGTATATAAAATACGGTATAGCCATAGAAGTGAATGACTATACCCATTATCACTTCTGTAAGATGAGGAAGATCACACAGATTATTAGATCAAGAAAGCATTTGGCAATCACAGTGGCAGTCACAGTCACAGTCACAGTCACAATTCAGAGACTATACTGTAAGCCAAAAACTGCAATCAAGATATATAAAGTTAGGTTATCAGCCATTATACACCTACAATAAGAATGTGTGTATGGTGAAGGAATAATACTTAACACATCAGATGTTATACCTACTCACAGGACTATATGATGGGTTTGGGGGAGGAGTTGTGTTGAAAAGGAAGTCATAAAATATTCACAAGACAATTGCTTTACTTGGTTACTTTATGATACTGTATCAACTACTAGAGCTATGTAGCATCAAATGTAATTGAAAATAACATTACAAACTGGATACAAGTAGTTTTAACCTACTTTATTGGACTGAGGAAAACCACAAACAATCTCAACCAGGAGGAAGAGAAGATGTTGTAATATGGGAAGGCTGCTGTGACTTAAACTGAGAAAACAGACCCACTTCAAATAACTTACAAGAAGGCAGTGAGTGCTCTTTCTACAGTGCTATCATCTGATCATAGCAAGATGGAAAGAACAAAGACATTCTCCAGTTTAAAGTACACATTTTCAAATTGTGGTCTTTCAGATACTGAACGACTTTCTGGTCTTGATGTACACCTTTTGCAGATATATGTCTATTATCAGATAAAATCTACTACTGGTAATATAATTACACTGCACACACTACACAGCACAGAGCCATACATTACCTTTTCTTTATTTTATTAAATATAAACCACATTAAAAATTAGTTCACCCTGAGGATGGACACTACAATGCATGTCAAAGTGTTTTAACAGCTTAATATATGACATGGCTTAACCCCAAGAGCCTAAGTTATAAAGAATGAAAAATGTTCGGTGAGTTCAGTATTTTATAATATGACCAAACTTTTGCATGATGTGTAATTTTTGTGAATATATCCTTTTGTGATGCCATATGGATAGTACCAGACTGATGTGGGCCAAAACTAAATATGATCACTATTACTGTATATTCACACTAAAAATATCCATCAAAAAAGTGTTCAGAAATTTCAAAGATAGCACATGCAGGTTATCAGATTCGGTCTCTCATTATGTACGAGTACTTTACGCAAAGATGAAAAGAAGAATTATCATCCTGCGATTGGTAGTTCAGATGTCTCAGTATATGCCCGGACATTAACAGATTGTACATTTACCTCAAGATCTAAAAACATGTTTTCTGGTACTCTAAGGTTCTATCAGATAGTTGTGTTTGAAACTAGATACCTGTTCGTTTCACTGACGAGGGCTAACTCGTGTATTTAACACAGAAATGTTCACAGCACCACATGGCTGCTTCAGACTTGCTCAATTAGTGTGGTTCCAGCCTTAGAGTATACACTGTTAAAGTTTACTGTGGCTCAGAGTTGGATGTACTGTTGTCACTTGGTATAAATCCCTAGGAGTATACATGACAATCCATACTTTGTCCATCACATAATAAGCTGCACCTGCCTGACATGGGAATAAACACTTTCAGTGTTTTCACATGACATGCAGTATTATCAAGGTTGATAATTATCTGTGTTAGGCTTTGAATCTAGAGTACATGTTTCCAAAAAAGCTGTCTTTCCATGGCTTCTGATCCCTATCTGTAGCCATGTTATTGTCTTAACCTCTCTCATCTACAGATTACACGGATGGGAAATGTACTCTTCTGTGAAACTGGAATTACCAAGACTTCCAAACAACACTGATATGTTAACCCAATATAAGATATGAGAAGTTATGCCTGAATATATGCTCTGATTCCTTTGAAACAGACTGAAGGAGTGTCAATCTGGATTAATGGGATTAAGGCCTAGTGCAGATTTTATACTCACTCTGCTCTTTCAAAATCACCATAATTCTGCTGTTCCTCTATACTGGGTTCATCTGCTGTCTCATCTTTATCTTCTTCAATATCCTGATGGGAAAATAAAAGGTAGTTAAGTTATGAAGAAGACAAATTTTATAATTTTCAATGTATGAAACTATTTATTTATATGAGTCATACATCAATCATTCAGGACAAGAATCAGAGAGAAACCACAGAAAATGCAGTGCAATAAAGCTTTTAATCACATGACTGATATTATGGTTGTGTTACTACTCCTGAATCACATGGGCCATTCCATGTCAAAACAACACAGCAGTTGACATGACCACTTCGATTTCAATGAAATTCTGTATGCCTACAGAGTCTGATGAATAAGTGAAAAATGTCAGGTTCTTCCTTCCTTCCCATGTCAGTTATTTTCAAAGTTACTGAATTTTGAAGTTTTAAAGTTCTCCTTAATTCTTCCCACAATCTGATCCAAATTAAGATCTCAAACTCATTCTTGAGCCATCTGAAAGCTCCTAGGTGGGGCTTTCACCTGATATGCCATATAATTTCAGGGTACATTAATATACTGACCATGACCTTTGACCTTAATTTATGAAAAATGTATTGATAGGCTCTCATAAATTTTTTTCCTCATGTTTTGTGCATTCCACACATTCTCTTTGAGGTTTAACCTTGTTTCTGGTGGCAGGAATACATTCTAGGCAACATCATTCTGAGTCTTGTGTTACTTGGAGTGACTAATACATAACCACTACTACACTGAGTACTCCCTCATATAATTTCAGACATCCTGTGGTACTTCAGTCTGGCTGTGGCATCTAATCTTAAGATCCACCACTCCCATGCTGGCATTGCAATCGCAAACAACCACAGGTTTCATTTCTTCTTCGTTTGCTTTACTTGCAGCCATACGCATTTTATCTGTTTGGTACATAAATATCACTGTCACTCTCTTCTTGTCTTGGTGCACAAGAACTGCCACATCTCACTGCAGGTGAAACATTGTTCCTGTTAGCATATAATTTCCAACATACTCTGTTGTTTTGCACTTCATGAACTCTGGTGAACTATAAAAATTGTCCATTCACGCAGTGTGTCCATGAGCAAGATGGTGTTATAACAGCTTTAATATAACTGCTGCAGTGTTGTTTGTTTCTGCAGTCACAGAGTTATTCATTAGTTCCATGCCTCATCCAGTGTAAATAAGAGAAGGCCAAACACAGCCAGAGCTATACTCACAGAATTCATATGCTTCAATGCCAAATTTGGCACCCCTGAGGGATATCTATCGTCCGAAAGACCAATGATATTTTTCAGAGTCAAGACTCCTCTATTGCTATGCTGTTCAGAAGATCCAGATATTATAACTTTTTATTTAGATGCTTAATGAATGGACAATTTCTGAAAATTCTGGAAAATCCATGAAATTCATTTTGCTTACTGTTATCAGAAAATGAATAAATCTGATTACTTATTACCTCTAGTCTTTCCAGACGTCTCAGGAAATAAGAGTGAGTAGTAGCTGGTTCTTTGAGCAGTATGATCTAAGTGCAGGCTTCTGTAAAATGCCCGTCAACATAAACACAGCCAAAACCATATACATTTTGTCCACAGAAACATCTTCCAGCTTCCTAATCCTACAGTGAAACGTGAAAGGGTTGACACTTTTCAGATTCTCACTGAGCATACCAGCTGGTTTCATCTACGAGTTGCATAAATGTATATCAAAAATGTTTTCAAATGCACTCACAACATACAGTTCAGCAGTGTTGAATGAGGGACCATACAAACCACAAACTGCATTTTGCCATACAAACTTATCTGACATCCCTCCCAATCCTTTGTTGATGTTTTCATGTTGTTCATCACTACCACTATTACACTATCACTATCAGTAATTACATGGGTTCCCTGAGTCACCAATTGTGTATCATCACACTCATAATAAATGCAGTCACCTCCAAAATTAAAAACTCGCCAATATTTTCATCACCTAAAAGTTCAGTCAAAACTTGTACTTGAAGAATGCCATCTTTTGGGATGTGGCACTGTGTAGATCTTGCATGAGCTGATGTTTCAGAGGAACATATTACGTCCATCTTCAGGGTAGAAGAATCCATCTAACCTGAAGATGGAGGTGATACGTTCTTCTGAAATGTCGCTTCACACAAAATCTACATGGCACCACATTCCAGAAAACGGCATTCTTCATAGTCAAAGCCAAGAAAACCTCAACTCTTACAAAACTTATACTTGTTCAAGCTCCCAGAGCGCACAACTCCTTGTTGCCATGACCACTATGAGGTTGAATGTTTATATTTAGAATGACATGCTCAGCTGCAGAAAATATAAAGTTATTGATTCATGAACAGAGAGTTTACTCATTTCACAACAGGATACTGCAAACCTCACCATACTTAAATTTTTTGTTCCTTATTTACAGACCACAGAAATTAAGCCCATAGCTGATCACAGGATATACCTTTAATTGCAGAAATAGTAATTAAATGTCACATGCAACATACACTGAACCACACAAGGAATAAGAAACTCTATTTTCACTTTGTTAAAACAGGCGCTGGAAATTGCCTCCATGTTCAAGGACACACAAATTAGCTCTGGGCAAAAAAGGAACTTGCAAGCATTTGAAGATGCTGGGCATATTCTTTATTTCGCTTGCAAACTGTGGAATTCAGTGCCATAATTCCTCTCTGGTATCAACTGCATTGGGACAGAACTTGGTCTTCAAACAACCCAAGAGGGGAAAAAAATGTGAGGATTCAAGTCAGGTGAGCATGCAGGCCAGGAAACTGCAGCTTCACATATGCGACCAATCCAGTATCTAGGATAATGATGCACTTCATGACTGTAATGCAATGGAGCACCATCATGTTGAAACCGCCTGTGAAGATGTGTACTGCAGGACATGCTTTCCAACAATCCATTTAATTCTGTTTTTGTAAAATGTAATGGCTTATCAGGCAGTTACCTAAAACTCCAGCCCATAGGTTCTCAGAAAACCATCACTGATGATGGTGAGATTTAACCACATGATTTTTATCTGACCACACACATATTTATTGCAGATGTTGTGATTCCAGTGCTAGTGTGGTACAATTTGTCTGTGAATAAAACCAGCAAAGGTTTTATTCATGGGCGGATTGTGTTTCAAAACTAGATTATCTCATAAACGAGTAGCTGCATGATACCTGGTACTGATGGTAGGCCATCTTTCAACAACTTCTAGGATCTGTGGTCTTCCATCTGTACATTATGTATGGAATGTAGACAGCCAACATCCCATCGCATTCCATAAAATTCTCTCTCTTGGAGCCGGAGGTCAACAGAACGGAAATTATTTGGCACTCTTTAATTAGGATATTTTTCTCTGCATTGTTTAACATCATATGTAGCATTTCCACAATATTCTTTAACACAAGATGCATGTGTGCTAATTTAATATATGAACAGGTGCTTTAAATGTTGGATTGGAATGCAATGAGCTTTGCCAAGCTTAGAATGCTTCAGACTGACTTGGAATGTACTATGTATTACTATCTGCCTACATTACAATGCTAAGCATTCAAAGTAAGACAAGTTTGGCATTAAATGGATCACTAAAAGAACAATGTAATATAAAAAAATGCCCACAGAAAGTCTGCTTTTGAGAAAGCAACAGCAGGAGCTGACATTTTCTAATAGTTGTAACTCTTTAAGGAAGGCCCTCATTGTACACATTCATACAAACTCTTTTTACTTATTCTGATGTCCAGAAAACATCCTGCAAGATATGATATGAAATACTGACACACCTTAACTAGTACAATAAATTTTGTTCTTCAAAACTGGATTAGGTGAAAAACGAGTAGTTTAACTCACCTTAATTTCACATTTCACTTCAGGGAAAACATATGAAACTTCTGACTCTTCATTGTCTGTACCAGGGGCCTCATCAGCCTGAGGGGACGAGGCATCTGACTCACTGCCTGATGTAGGCTCCATTTTAATGTCCATACTGTCCTGTTACATAAATGAAAAGCTTAAAAGTTTCCTCGTTATTTTAATTCAGCAAAATTTCATTGACTTCCCTATTCTACGATTGTGCAGAACTCACAATGAAGAAGTTGCTGGATGGTTCATAGTTTATTTAGGGAACTTTACTAATTGTGGAGGCTAATTGCTATCAAATGACTGGAGAGTGAGATTAGAAACAGCAAACAGTAAACAAATATACAAAAAGCAGTGGCCAAATTTAAGACACTATAACAGCCATTTGCCAAGAAAAGGACAAATGAAACCATGAAAAACTTCGGTGTGGACAGCTGGTGTTGCAACTGAAACTTTAAATACCCCCTCAACATGTTACAATTTGAGCTAATCTGCTCAGTATGAAGAAAGGTGACATCTACTTTTATCAAAACAAATTACATTTCAGTTCATTTTCAACTTCCATTAATTATAGCTAACAGACATTTCATATCTCTTATTAATTTAGATAATTTATCAATACCTTGCTGATTACTAGAAGCAGTCCATGTATGTAAGAACACCCAAAACAAGGTAGCTCAGCTGGTAATGTTTCTGACTTGTATTTCATGGAGTGTCTGGTCCAAATTTTGGTTACACACATATTATGCTGTAAGTTTTCATGGCTTTATTCAGTTCATCCAGGCAAATGGCAGGATAGAACCCTACAACAGGCTATGCCCACTTCCTTGTATTTTCTATCCAATTCAGTGTTCATTAATCATTCTACCATTTAACACCATATAATGACCCAGTGATAGTGCTCTTACACAAACCATAAATACAAGAACTTCTGAACTTCTGGTAAAAGTAAAAAGTAAAGTTATCCCTGTAACAGGCCGTGAATGCCCATAGGGTTGTGAGGCATTGAAGGTCCCACATTCCCTAGACAATTGGCTCAAAGATGGCGGTAAGGTTGTCAGCCTTATGTGCCGGCCGCGTTTTACTCCACAGGAAAATTATTTAATTAATTCCTGGTACTCATTTCTGTTAGAGGCTGAGTCGGCCCCAGGGCCATAGTGCAGCTGCAAGGATTAGGTCAACTAAAAAAAAGTCCAATGACCTCATTGGGACTTGAACCCACGACCTTCCAGCTTGTAGCATAGCTCCTCAACCAACTACAGATCTTAAAATTCCTTTTATAAAAACCACATTGTTTCTTTCAGGCACAGCATGTTAATTAAAAATGTTTTGTGTGTGTATGTATATAAATATACATAAAGGTCATTTTTATGTCTCAGATTCGAGACTCCCCCAACCTAGAAGACCAGGTCCTCATACTTATATCCCTCAGGAACAGGGAGGCCAAGTTATACCTCTAGGCACTGGGTTCCTACGACTCTCAGGGCTATGGTGGAGGTAATCAGCCCCACCTTCACATAGACAGTATTCTCTGAATGCTGCTTGTGTTGAACGTCTACATAATACATGAGATCCTACCAAGGAGAGAACACTAAGTGTAACACCCAAAAGAATACTGTTCTCTCCTAGACATCCATGTGTTTCAGAAATGACGTCTCCTCTTCGATGACAGGAGGGTTTGGCCTTGTGGAAGTAGGGCTGAATACCTCCATCATAGCCCTGTGTGTAACATGAGGTGACAAAAGGAGAACCCAGTGCCTGGGGGTATAACTGGGCCATGCTGTTCCTGGGGGATATAAATTTGGGGACCTGGCCCTCCAGATTGGGGAGAATCTGAAAAAATACAATGTGGTCATGACTCCCACAGGATTCAGACCTGAAAATTACTGGTCATAAGTCTCAAGAGGCTTGATGCCAGGACAAACTGACTGGCGGTAAACCACCAATCACAAAGTGACTCTGACTCTGACTTGCTTCATCTGCCACTGGAACAACTGCTTATTAATGAATGGCATATTTTACAGCAGTCCTAGAATTTCAATGAAGGAAGTGAACAGAGGCATTCCGAGGATCACAATACTCAGGATACAGAACTAGTCACTGTACAACAACATTTGAAAAATACCTAGAACACTACATGCCTACTACATATTTACACTACACATGAAGTAAATAAATAAATACTACAAACAATATAAACAAAAGATCTTAATATTATATACATACAATCTATACTTAAACACATTACGGATTAATAAAGAAACAATTAAAATAAACGTTACGTAAATATACAGGCCCACGATTAAACCTACAAATCTCGCAAATTATCAACGTTGAACAAGCTTCTTGCTACCTACTGTCACACCCAACAGAATATTGGTCGTCCATTTTGGTGAACAGCCAATGAAGTAAATGTCCCAGTATTTATTTAGACCAATTAAACACGAGTATCAACTTAAATATAAATGTTAAAATACTCCATATATATTACACACAGCCTAGAAGGATTTAGCAACTAACATTTACCTTCAAAATCACCCTAAAACCAAATTAACTATAAAGAACATTTCCTTTGGGCAAAAAAAAAAAAAAATTCTTACCTTACGTACGCAGGATCAACCGCTTACACATAAATGAAAACATCCATACTTATAGACTCATAAGGCTTCTTTAATCAATACAAAGAAAATGTATTTTTAAAATAACGAAACAAAGGGTTTTCCAAGAAATCCAACAATCCTCCTCAGGTCATTCAGGCACCATAATACACCTATCCATCTACTTGTGCCCTATGTCTACCACGGATTACTTAATAGTGCATTACACTCAACGAGGACAGCGTGCGTATAAATGTGGTACTAAATTCTGACAACGTAGCTGCCATCTATTCATGCTACTGAAACTATTACAAAATGGATACAGCCTCGACGGCCTCGACAATGTTTTCTATTGTTAAGAAAGATAATTAGTATTCTGCTAATGAAACCACTCACCCCTCGATTCGTAGCACGGCAGTGAATAGTAGTGAATAGTTTTTAGAAATATGTGTAAGTGAATTAATTTAATCAACATTGCGTCACTCACGTCCATTGGGTGTTAAGTTTTTCAGTAAAAAAGTAAAAAAAGTAAAGGTATCCCTGTAACAGGCTGTGGAGGCCCATAGGGTTATGAGATGTTGAGGTTCCCACATTTTCTAGACAATCGGCTCATAAATTTTTCAGTAGTTACTGTAAATAAATACAAACATTTCAACCATATAAATCCACCATCCCCGTTCTAATTGAAACTGACTGTTCCACATGATATCACACAGAGAGCCAAAATATTCATTAAATCAACTGAAGCTGTGTAATGAAAATATGTCTGTCATAACTTTGTTCACAATTTACACTTCGAAGTTACATAAAACATAGTTTTTCAGTTACTTTAATGTATTATAAATTATGTGCAGCAAGCAATAATACTCAGGTTTCCAGATAATATTTACATACATTCTAGGGCGGAAGTGATGTTAAAGAACCGGGTAGATGATCCAGGCTAGTAGAAAATCATGTGGGAATGATTAACACACTAAAAAGAAATAATTGCAGTATAGCCCTGTCAATTCATTTACACATGTGTTGATTTTGGGAACTATCTGTGCTGATCTTCATTTCCAGTCGTACATAGTTATCAAAATAAAAATGATAATTCTAATAAGCCAGAGAATTTTAATTCCTCAGACAAGAATACCAATGTCTCAGAGTAATCTGAGTAATCTGAAGTGGGTTGTCATTGAAGTAACGACACAGACAAAAACCCGACACATGAAATAATCACAACTGGAGTTCACGGAATCCACATCTAACCCATGAAGCCCCACTCTTTCCAGTGAAAGTTGGTGTTTAGTGTGCTTTATGTGCAAGAAGGATCGTTGGACCTGTGTTTTTTAATAAAAAAATTAATTTGTTCCTAAATATAAATATTTATAGTTATAATACAAGAATAAACAAGGATTTTCATGTTCAATTCTGCAGAACTACATTATTTAAAAAAAAAAAATTGGTAAATATGGGGATAGACTTGTATAGTAAGGTGACAAACAAAATAAAAAACTTGGTGGGTTTTTCAGCTTTTAAAAAAGACTTAAAATCCTTTTTATATGATAAAAGAATTTGTTAGTTTTAATAAAAAAGTGGATGGTGCAAGTATTTATGTTTGGATGTCATAGCCATTCATGAGCTGTATATATTAGTTTGTGTATTTTTTTAAATGTAGTATTTATATACTGTTTATGATTGTAACAAATGTTGGTAGTGTGCTTGTAACTTTGTAGATTTGTTTTGTTAACTTGTATTGCCGCACTACTTGTCCAAGTGTTACTATGTAGCAAAACGGATGAAAATATAATACAATACAACGAGTTTGTGGAAATTCTGACACAGGTATCCCTTTCTGCTCTCTCTCTGCTATTGTTTTCCACAGGGAATATTTTTACTTAGTTGATGAGTTCATGGCTATGCGTTTCACAGTAACTGGTACACTGCCGGCTGAGAGGCGCATGCGAATTTTGCCAATGAATCAGTATGCCTGATAATATTCAGAATGAAAGGAAGTTCCCACTTTTGTTTACAGATCACAGGAGGTGTTGAAAATGCTGTCCCTCTACATGTAGACATTACTCACACCAGTGGAAGAGGTTCTGATTTACTTTTTGAAGGTGTTGTACAGAAATATTTGCAATCTCCCTATCAATATTTTCTTTTAGTTCTTCTTCTGTTCGGGAGTTACTGTTGTACATTTTGTCCTTCAAAAACTACAGAAGAAAAAAACACAAAGGGTAAGATAAGGTGAATGTGCTGGCCAAATACCACTGCTGACAATTCTGTTCCCCGAGACATCGGACAAAGCCTGTATAGACATACATGCAGTAGCTGAGTCTTACTGAAACCAGCCATAGAGTCTTTCTTCTTCTGTTAATTCTGAGAAGAACTGTCTTAGAATGACCTGTATATATCTTTTGCAATTAATTTTTTCAATAAAAAACGCAGGTCCAACAACCCTTCTTGCACATAGGGCACACCAAACACCAACTTTCACTGGAAAGAGTGGGGCTTCATGGGTTAGGGTTAGATGTGGATTCTGTGAACTCCAGTAGTGATTATTTTGTGTATTTATGTATCCCTGCAAGGGAAACCACTCTTCATCAGTAAAGAATGTCAATTGCGGATCAATCTCAGATGACAGACTGCAGAAACCAACTTCAAAAGTTAACCCTTCTAACTAAATTGCGTGGCTGCAAGGCGTGGATTACTGTTGTTTTATAGGGTCTAATCTTGAACAACTGCGTTGCCACTCTTGCACTAGACACTGACATTCCGTTTTCTTGAGCTAGACGTTTCAGTGATTTTCTAGGAGTATGTTCAAGTATGCCTCTCATCTCATAGAACTTCTCAGTAAGCACCCAGTGCTCATGTTTTTTTCTTCTTGCATGTCAAGAGTCCCGTTGGTCTAAGTTTATTCACTAAATTATGACTTGTTTGTCTGCTGGGAACTCTTTCATCATGAAATTTATGTAGAAAATTTCGCCGACACTTTCCAGCAGATCCGTATTTCACACAGGTGTCATACAGAAATGCTCATTGCTCTAAAGTATATGGCACCATGACACACCGCACCGCTCACTAACTGCAACTGAGAACAAGAGGCTAATGGAGTCAATAACTGCTGACAACTTGTAGACAAACTCCCAAATATGAGCCGCGCTGCTCGTTGTGAAACATAATGCCATGAAGCGGTCTACAAGTTAATTACTTCCCTTCATTCCAAATGTTGCCTGATTCATCAACAAAATTCATATGCTCCTCACAGCAGGTGGTTCACCAGCCGCCGTGAGTATATATATATATATATATAGTATGTACATATATTTCTCAATTCATAGTTCAAATAATATTATTTTTAGTATAGAGGTTATATCAGTTGATAAGAAGTGACAGATGATGATGAATCTGGAAATTGGAAGGATTTGGTAGAAAGAAGCTGTGGTCTATGTTATGGTAAAAAGATATGTAGTTTCTTTATTGAATATATTCTGACATTCATATTAATATATCTGTTTAATTAAAATAAGCTGTACACATAAGAGAGAAATGAATTGTATTGTTTTCTGTGTATAAACTGTACATAACAGGAAGAGAATGTTTCCTTGGAAGTACTAGATACTATTAATGTGTACACACACAGTCACAGATCCATCTCTCGCATACCCCTCTGTTGCGCTACAACTGTTTTTCCTGTTTGATGAATACATAATTCCCAGTACAGGCCATAACTTTTGCTATTGTTCACAATGTACCATTAATACACAAATAAAGATAGCAAAGATGGGTAAATTAAGTAGTCAGCCCTGTCTTCTGCATCTAATTCACACCAATCTGTTCCTTATCACCTCATATAATGATTTCTGTTTAAGTGATGTTATTGTTGGATTCAGCTAGTGTATTAGCAGCTTCCTCCTCATCATCTGCAGACTGCTGGCTTGTCTCAGTTGCCTCGCCCATCAGTGCCCGATACTTCTTGGCAATGGAGTCCCAATCAGTAACATTCTCAATACGAGTCAAACTGTTGCTAAAACTAAGCTGAGAGCCTAATGGACTCAGGTGGACCACACTAAGTCCTGTAGAATCTGCAAACAGATACATTCAGACTTAATACCAACATTTCAAATAATACTTTTATAATATACTATAATGAAAATAATATTTTAAATGTAACAAAATTTCTTACATGATTGTAACAAACGTTGGTAGTATGCTTGTAATTTTGTAGATTTATTTTGTTAATTTGTATTACTGAATTATGTGTCCAAATGTTACTATGTAGCAAAACGGATGAAATAAAATAAAATACAATACAATACATGTTCAGTCACAAATATGGCAAACAAGGCTGGAACAGAACACAGTAGAGTTGAATATGAGAAAAATATAATTATTACAAATGGTATACAGAAGTGATTATGAATACTGACGTTATACAAGTGGAGATCTTCACTAAAATCCAATGGGGAATGATTTGTTTCATATCTTCACCCTTCATCCTTTTTGCTTTTCTTTAACACTTCCATAACTTTCTTTATTGAAGCAGTGAATTAAGTTCTGAGTCCAGAGAATGAATTAACATACACACATGATCATATAATGTTGATATGTAGTCATAAATAGTCTCCTAATATAAACTGCATATATACTGTATATGATAGATATTGTAGTATTGTAGTCCATTCAGGGTGCTAATACTAGTTAGCAAGGTTCTGGCAAGAGGGAAGAAAAATAATGATTCTGTTCCAGAGATTCTAAATCTCAACATCAATAATGTCATAAGTTTGAGTAAAATATAATAGGCATTCTGCATGGAACTTGGTAATTCATGTGGTCAATATTATAAATTCCTTCTCTATGTGCATATAACTCTGCACAGATGCAGGTTTATGGTTGGTTGTGTAATATGAGAAATGCAATATTTATATTTATTCCAGTAAAGTAGAATAAATATCATAGTGTTTTGAAATGGAGAATCTGTGGAACCGGGACTACATATTTTCCACATTATTAATTAACAATTAACAATAATTAATTGTTGCATGTATGTTAAGCATGGCATTTCATTTTACCATATTCTATATCAGGACTGACACATTACAGCACCAGATGCTGTGGTCAAGTGATCAGCACTCTTACTTCCAAGTTCCAGTTCCAATCTTGAACCAGAGACCAACTATTCTGAGTGGGCTATTCTGTGGTTTATCTCAGTCCCTCCGGCCAAATTTCAGGGTAATATCTCAAAATTACGTCAAGACCATTTCCTTCCACATCATTTCCAATTCACTAATCAGTCTGCCTTTCAAAATTATATGAGTACAATCTCAGCAATTTCCAGCATTTTTAAATAAATTAGTAATAAGGTAAATAAACAATAAACATTATGGAACACAGATGGTGATTATCACACTGAAAGAGTTGGACCTAAAATTTAACAGCAGCCATCCATTTTTGAAAATACAGTCACTCAAATGTAACAACTGACTGAAAGGTTTTAATTTCATAACATTTCTCATCATATGGCAATCCTTGCTACTGCATTATTAAGAGAAAATAACAGCATTTTGTGCAGTTACCAGAAAACTATATACTGTTTAGTGTTTAACACTGCCTGTCTGAATTCTTAATAAGGATAATTATTCATAGCCAAATGCATTCATCTTGTGAGAACTGAGATTCTCAGAGCATTGACCAAGAAGATTATGGTATTCTGGAATGTGAACCACACAGTCTAGTAGAGAGTAACCAGTGTTCTGGAGGAACCTAGTACCTCCATCCTCTACCCTTAAGATGGACACAGCAGATTCCTGTAAACCATTTATAATTATCTCACAGACTACATAATATCATACACCAGAGCACAGTAATCTTCATGTGCACAATCTGATGGCATCTTCACTCAAGAATGGTGCACTTTCATATTAGATTGCTTCTATTATAACCTAATCAATTTATAAGACACTGTATCATGGTGTAACAATAGTAATTAAATATTAATATATGATGCATCAGAGGGATACCGATAAAATGCAATCAGAGAATAATTAGTGCAAATGTGAGAATGTGAACCTCAGAAGTACACAATATAAGAGGAACATTCTCCATATCTATTATCTCTTACCATTTTTCAAGGAAGGCTCTGGCCGATGAGGCTAGTTATGTAAAATAATTACTCAAATAATTCCCTATACAAAGTGTTATTAATGGTAAGTACAGTAATTTCTTTGAAGGTGATAATTATTTCAGCATTAAACCAAAATAAAATATGACTACCATTTACACGCTCTAAGTTTTCCAATACATTTCAGACACAATCCAACCATCTTACTGCGAAGCTCAGTCAATAGCAGTTAGCCATTACAAGCATTAACAGATATAGTTCCAAATTGAAAGACACTTCTAAATTCTAGGTGGTACAAGAGACAATAATATTTTAATTTCATCCTTTTATTTCATTAGTTAAGAAATGTGAGACAGTATAAAATTTGGAGATAGTACGGCAATATGGCATTCAGTACATAAGAGATCCTCATTTGATTTTTTGTGGGGGAACACAAAAAACATGTAACTACCTTAAAATATATGAAATAGATCTGTAACAGGAAAATTATTAATACGTTAGAGAGAAGATGACAAAAGCTGTAGAGTAGTGAGAATATTTTCTACATTATCACCTATGAATATGGTATATCTTCTATGTTTCGAAGTTTACATATCAGATATACACTTCACAAAGAAACTATATATATAGATACATACACAGACATATACTGTATATGTGTGTTTCTTGTTTTATAAAGTTAATGACAATTACATAGTTGACCACCTACAACTACAGGTATGACAGTCAATATAAAATGTGAATTTTACACATTTTTGTGTCCACTGCTGATGCCTTATTAACTTCTTACTGAAATAGACAAATTGCGGTTAACCTATACCAGAGTAAAGGAAAACTGGACATTTTTTGAATTCCATGTGACATTTGAAGAGTTGCAGACAATTCTCTAGCAAGACCAGGAAGCATGAAAGTTGTAGATGCTAGAATATAAAATGCAGCAAAGATTAGAAGAAATAAGAAGATAAAGTTATTGAAAAGAATAACAATGGAGAGAGAACGATTTTGCCAAAGACAGAATTAGCAGTGAAAGAAGAAAAAGAAATTGAAGACAAAGGTGAAGAAGAATATTGTGCTTCTGAAGAAGACAAAGGATTAGAAGTAGTAGAGCAGAAATAAGAATATTCAGCTGCTGCCACAATTAGGTCAGAGTCAAGAAGTAGTGAGATATTGAGAAGGGGAACCTGAGGCATTACCCCACCATTATTTAAGTGTGTCTGCAGAAAATCACTAGAAACCTCAGTCAGAGTCTCCCCTCAGTGTTCGATACTTCTTTGAAGTGGCCTCCCAGTCGGCCACATTCTCAATGCGAGTTGCATTGTTGCTGAAACTGAGTTGCGAGCCTAGAGGACTCAGACGAACCACACTAAGAGTCATAGGGTCTGTGGAGAGAAATATTTTACATTATTTCCTTCTTTCACTCCCCATAACTTCAATGTTTTGGCCAACATACTTCTGAAATGCATACACTCATTCCAGCATTCTCTCTATACTAACATCAATGCTATTGACATTTTCCAGTCAGGCATAAGAAAAATGGAAGTGATCATGTAAATTAATTTTGGTCCAAACAATTTTATGAAAGTCTTTTAGCCAATACAAATTTTATTAACTTGCAAAATCCTTCAGCAATTCCCCTTTCACCATAGTATGGCATGTCCTTAGGTTGCAGATGGGGATAGATGCCTCCAGGTATGGAGTTGCAGTTGTCAATGTACTGGATAAGCTTTTGCAGTCATGACCCTCCACCTTAGAGGTTGGAAAATTAATTAACAAACCTTTGCTATAAAATAAATGTTATGAAACAACCGAAAGAAGCTTGGACACTTATGGGGCAGGATTTAACAGCAGACTTTAGTGAACACAGTAACAGACCTTTAGATCTCATAAAAGTACAGAAATTTGACTATCTGAATAACTATCAACTGTTCAAGGAAGACCCTGCTTATGAAGTTAGAACTTGAAGAAACTGAAGCACCAAACTTAAGGGCCCCATACAAGCTGATATATAAGATGGCACCATGCATCACAATATGTTTCAGTGCAGCACACACATATGTTGATACATGTTTCATATTACAGACAAATATTTGTTGTTAAGATTCTGTCATGTCTACTAAGCTTGTCACACTTGACCTGAATTAGGACTTTATTCTGTGTAATCCTGTTACTTATGATCAAAAATTCTGAAAATTGGTATGTATTTAGCTGCAATAATTAAACTCTTGTATGAAATTGCAACAAAATATGGGTAATTGAAAATTAATTTGTGCCTAAAGTAATATGATGAAATTTAATTATAATGATAAAAGAAGCAAGTATATTAAAACTCCTGATGCTCTTGATTACATAAAAGGATAAGGTAATGTTATCCCTACATATCATTCATATAAGACCTGGGAAATAAATGGAAGTGAGTGGTCAGTTTCACTCTCGAGGATCTTTAACTCACGGGGGCGGGGTGTTCAAATTTGTTTGCTGGATGAGATGGAAAATGTTACATATATTTCAATATTTGTACTAGGCCATAGTCAGTAAATATTCAAGTATTTATAAAATGTATGTCAGGACTTTGGTTCTTAGCCTTGACTGGTAAGGATTAATGACATTGAAGTTAGAAGTTTTAAGGAGGAATGACAGAGAGCCTTTAAACACATATTTATTACTTTCAGAGAATTGAAATTGAACGCTAATTTCGCCTTAGTCAGTGTGTAGACTTTAGTGTTAGTCCCTATACTGAAGTCATACCTCTTTCATGGGAAAACCTAAAAAACTGGAAACATTAGGAATTCCATTCTATATTTCATTACAATTCATTACAATAATGCACATTGTCTTGTGGCTACAATATAAAATAAAAATCTTAATATGTCCTGTTTAGAGAAGTCAAATTTGTGAGGTGCTGTCTATTATTCCTCCTCCAACAAAGAAGATTAAGAGTAAAAATGTTGAATGTGAGAAAGACTGAGAGGTTAGAACTCCATGTCCCAGCAAAAAGTGTATCAAACAAAATAAGAAAGGGCTTATAAGAACATGGTGATAAACTACAACAGAAAGAAGTTGAAGATATTCCGGCATATATACCTGTTGCTAGGCAACGATCATGAAATAAGCAACTATAAGATAGCCGTTGCTAAGTAACGGCTTCTCAAACCGGCATGTTTCCACGACAACAATTGCACCGTAACAGAGGAACAGTGTTTTTTATGCTATCTGTGCCGAGATGTTATAAGCAGGGCCAGTTAGCTACTGAAGTTATCCCCACATGGAGGCGGGTACGAACACCTCCACTGTAGTCCTGCGAGTCATAGGAGGCAACAAAAAGTAAACCCAATGCCTAGGGGTATAACTGGGGAAACCTGTTCCTGGGGGATATAAATATGGAGACCTGGCACTCCAGGTTAGGGGAGTCTCCAATCTAAGACAGTAAATTATGGTCAAAAGACCTGTGGGACTCAGACTCAAGGATGACTGTGCTGGTGCAGGCCAGCGGCAACCGTAAATAACAGACCCATCCTCTCATCAGAGAGGGTGTCCAACATCTACAAACCCACAACTGTCTGACAGTAATAACAACCTGGTCTCGGACTCCAGACTGGGGCTTGATACCAAGACAGACTGGTTGACTGACCATCTGTCATAACATAACTTTGACTTTGACTTGCTGCAGTCAGTCAGGTAGTACTTAGTTAGAGGACTGCTGCGGTTCAGCTGTCATGAGCTATTGCTGTTAGATGCTAGTAAATGAAACTGGGAAGATTTCAAGAACACAGAGGAAGGGGAATGTCCACCATTGGAAGCTGCTACCAAGCAATGGCAATAAAAAAGGTTGACTGTGGACACTGGAGTGTGTAACAGTGTACTATAAAGTGTAGACACATGCTGTATCCAAGAGTCCAGTTAATCCAATCATCAATCCGAAAGCTGTCACTCTAACATGTGACAATATTAAAGCAAAGTTTGAAAAGAAATAAATAGAAGAGGAAGAAGAAAAAGAGATCATTTTGAAAGTGTAGTCTTTGGAATTAAAACTTATCAGCAAACCATGACATTGATGTAGTATATTATTTCATGTGTAAAATTTTTCACTCTGAAAAACTACTGGAGCAAGCATATCCTGAAATATAAAAACCTTCTATTAAAACATAGATTTTAATATCTAAACGCAACTGTTGTTCAGAGTTGTTATTCTGTGGTTACATTAACTTATAATTATTTTAAAGCTAGAGTGTAAGATAAGATCCACTAATAAAGAGATATTTAAATTATACTTTAAACGATTTATAATTACTTATCATTATGAAATTAATATTTTTTAACATAATGTCATCTACTTTTATAAATATTTAAGAACAAATTTAATATTTAATTTATTTTATATTTTACTTTGATGTTTTTTTATTTAATATAATGTAATAAACTGAAACATTGCAGGTACTAGAGAATAATTACATCTGAGTTCCAACATATTTTCTTGAAAGAAACTATAGCTATAGTGAGTTTTCTAGACAGTGCCTCCATGAAGTATACTTATGCATCATGGGATGGCCCGACTTCATGGGAGGAGTGTCTGACTCTTCTACCTGAGTGTGTCTCACATAAGAATCACTGTGTAATGCAAATTTATTTAAAATAGTTTGTGATTAAATTTCCTCACCTGATTCTGGCGGTTTCCTGTACTTTTCCGCTCTCTCCCCAACTGTGATGAAAGATTACAGCATTTGATAATGTGTCAGTAAGTTGAGAGTTTTACAAATAACAATGCAAATATTTTAAATGATGTAAATTTACAATTTTCAAATGCATGTCAATGGAACTATAGTATACATACAATTCCACTTCTATATAGCCTCTTACTCATTCATACCAAAACCTGCTTTATTTACACCCAGACACCAAACTTAAAAGAAACTGGCTCAGTGTCATATCCCACGGTCAGCTTTCATGTATTCTCCATGACATGTTTAAAATAAACATTTTAGAATATTACATACTGGTAACAAGAAAACAAATGTTCACATACTTATTCTGTAATTAAAGCCATTTCTTATCAAGATCTCAGAGCTGTGGCCTATTGTAGATCAAAAGCCTTCAGCCACTCTAGAGGTTAAGGTCAATCATACTGTCATATCTTTAGTTGTGATATTTAGCAGTCAGATTAATTTCATACCAAGACCGCAAAACTGTGGCTCAGTGTGAGTACATAGGCCAGCATTATGTCAAGAGGTTAGTGTGAACCATTCATTCATTCATTCATTCATTCATTTATTGTATATTCCATAAATCCATATACGTACATAGATAAGAATCATTCTGATATGCTGCCTCTGCGCAGTTGTGATATTCTGTATTTAGACCTGTTTCATAACAAACCCTCAGGACCGTGGCCTAGTTTGGATACATACCCCGGTTTTCGCCCAAAGGTCTGTAAAGTGGGACGAATGGCTACTGACATGCAAGACAGAACATGCTACATGCAGTGCTATTATTTGTAGTTGGAACTGTTTACTGAAATTATCCATACAATGATATGAAGATGCATCATGAATATANGACATAAATAATAAAGAACTGAATTGAATTATTAGCAACTCAGATTTGTGTTAATGAAATTATTATTATTATTATAATTATTGTTATTACTTTGTTTGTTTGTTTGCTTACTTCTTGGCATTAATGTGTTTTTCTTCCAGTGCTTACCTTTAATTAGTCTTTGATTTTATGTTGTGTTTGTCCATAATGTAATTACTTGTATCTACACTGTGCTGTGTCTGTAATTGGACTTGCAGCTGTTGACTCGGCACATAAATAATAAAGAACTGAAGTGAGGAAAATATTTATTGTTATTGTTATATTATTATTATTATTATTATTATTATGTACAAGAATGTTACTTACTATCTTCATCATTTAGTGATTTTTATAATTGTGTTTATTGCTGCTATTATTTCTGTTGCTCTTTTACTTTTATCAAATAAATGAGGTTTACAAATAACATAACCACATAACCATCTTGATCTAGAGATATTTCAGTTAACAGTACAGTCTCATTTGTATAGGAATGTTACTAAAAACTCATTTACATAAATTATAATGATTTTGAAACATGAAACAATTCTTTTAAGTAGTTGTTATCCATGTCCATGGAGTTAGTGAGACAATAACAGATTATTCATTGAGTGTAGGCCGCACCATAGCTCAAGCAGTTAGTCGCTGGCTTCCCACCGTGGCGGCCCGGGTTCGATCCCGGGTCTGGTGAAGTGGGATTTGTGGTGGACAAAGTGGCCCTGGGGCAGGTTTTCTCCGAGTACTTCGGTTTCCCCTGCCAATCTTCATTCCTCCAATTGCTCCACAATCACCCTCACCTATCATCTGGGGCTGGTACAATAGGCCAGAAGTGGCCGCAGTACAAGGGACTTTGTCCCACCCCACTAGCATTAAAAAAATTCACTGAGGGTTGTGAGACGTTGAGGCTCCAACATTTTCTCTAGACAACCTGCGAACACATGGCAGTAAGGTTGTCAGCCTTACTCCCCGGCCGCCCTTTACCACCAGGAAGATTCCTGGCACTCATTTCTGTAGAGGCTGAGTCGACCCCAGGACCATAGTGCGGCTGGAGGGATTGGGTAAATTGAGGTTTGAGTTATGCTACATATAAAATTATTTTTTTTTTTCACTGAAGGCTAATATCTGCTTGTCAAACTGTGACTAACTTGGAATAGAAATTAATTGACAAATATCATGTTACATTAACATTATAGCTGCCACAGTAGGACGAGAACGCAAAATAATAAAATAAAGAATAAAACAAGAAGAGTCAATTCCAGAAAACTAAGATTATCACCCTAACTGCATTTAGAAACTGTTTCCAGACATTTTTGAACAATCATTTCAAAGCGTGAACAAATTATTAATTACAGCCTTAGTAACCACAAGTTTAGCACATGAACAAAATGCAAGCACACTTGAAATAGGTCTCTCTGCTCATAGTCTCATTTGAAGAAATGTAAAAACATATTTTTGTTTGTAAAATCTATTGCAGACATTATCGCTTCCACTGAAACTGAACCTCCCAACATTACTTCCAGTAGAGTGAAACATATTCAAAACTATTTGTTGTTCACAGCTTAGAAGTACTTGTCCATCTGTATGATTTATGAAATCAGTGTCAGCAATGCACACTTTGCAGCATCATGATAGAGCAGAAGGCACAAAAGTATTACAAACTTTTTGGAATATATTAGTCTGAGCACATGAGAAGATGGGGTCATAAAGGGAGGCTGTTACATGGGATTGAACAAGGCAAAGATAATCTATATAAGAAAGGTGTCTACTAGGAAGCATAATTAAGAACATTTTTTTTCCAAATGAATAAATTATGAATTACTTTCACTATTATAAGTACAATGAATACTGATATCAGAGACTTTGTATGGTAAGTGGTGTTCCAAATAGAAGTCCATAAGACAACAAGCTTTGTTCTTGACAGTTGATATACTACAGAAATCCAGTCTCATTATTATAGTGTCATATCAAAGAGGTAATTTTCTGATAAATGCATTCATTGTCACAGTTTGCATTGAAATAGCTATCAGTGTTGATACATTATACACTGTTTAAAATAAAATTTTGAGAATACTAAATTATAACTAACCTTTGGGTGCTACTTGCCCTTTCTTAACCTTTTGAAGCCATTTGGCTCCCATCTTGGTTCTTGCACTCATTCGCTGTCTCTGCAGGCCCATCATTTGCACAAGACTTGGTCTCTTCCTCTGAGCCACTGCAATCACAATAATGAAAGCATTACTGTCACATTTAACAAAATAATAACAGCAATAGCAAAAAATAATGAATGTAGCAAAAGCAGCGGTAATAATAATTTAATTAAATTCAATACTAATAATAATAATAATAGTAATAATAATAATAATAATAATAATAATAATTCAATTCAATTCGTGTTTATTTACGTGCAAACTTAACAGCACAGAGGCCAATAACAAAGTTTTCGAGAGTACATGGAAATACAGATATAACTAAAAGACAAAATACAAATAAGACAGTCTATATAATGGCATTAAATTACTATTAATTCCAAGAATAATTAAAGTTAGCATTAACAGGTGAGAAAATAAAATAAGTACATTTCAAATGGTTCTTCCATTATGTGGTGAGAAAGGACAATACACACACATACACACATAGAAGTTAATTACAATAATAATAATGACAATGATGATGATGATGATGATGATATATCGCTTATTTATCAATGTCACACTTGAATTTGTTACTGTCTAAAATGATCCTTTTACAATTATTGATGTGTCTAGATGTGGAACTGCAATTTCTCTCTCTGACAAAGAAAAATTTTGACAAATGCCTCTTCGAACTTCTTATCATCATAAAGGAGGATGAATGAGTTTTAAATTTTTCCTAAATAACACAAATTATGTTTTTATAATACTTACTTTTACATAGAAGTAATATGGAAAACACCTTGAAAGCTTTTAAAATAATTAGTTGTTTTAATGCAAATGTGTGAAAAGAAAAATCAGGAGCCAGTCATCTATGTCTATGAAAACTACGTGAATACTTGCAAGTTGTCAGTTGTAGCTGCAACTGTGAGCCTGTATACATACAAACGTTCACTCAGGCACCATTTCTGTACTATCACATTTTAGAAGGTTACTGTAAGAAATATTGTACAGGGCAGTTTCCGACTTCTTCGACATATGTAACAGTTAAAGCTACACCACATATGCTACAACACATCATTATTGATCAGTAATTTAGTATTTTACCAGTATTACTTACTTAAGTTTTGTCCTACAACTGATCAAGTTCCAAGTATCTACTTTAACTAAACTGTAAAAATAGAACTAAAATTGCCATATAAAATATGGTTTCGTGGGACACAAATTTATGTAACAATTTTTTAATTTTAAATAATGCTAGATACTTCTGCCACATGTTCAGAAGTTCAGTGAGTGCTTTTGTTTCTTCCTGAGGAACAGCTGATTGGAATTTTTGAGCTTATCACTATATAGTTCTCTGCAATCTTGCTACTGTTTTGCAATACGTCTCTATGTAAGTTATGTAAATGATATATTTTTGAGATATGACCTCTAGATCAACTAAATATTTGTTGAGATATGTGCATTTCATAAACATACTATACTTTGGTAACAGTAAGAAAGAAGTATGATGGGGAAGATAGCAAACATTGTAATTTTTATGATGCTATTGTCTGAAAGAGTTTCCCTGTAGTATCTTAACTGCATGAAAGACAATATTGCATAACATGGAAATATTAACATTTTATTCTGACTTCAAATAACTTGAATTATGTTTAAAAATCAATGAAAATTTAAAAATAAATGACTTTATATTTGTTTAATTAGGTTCTGACACTGGTGGCTGAGATGTGGTGGTGTGTAGTCTAGTAGAAGTTCATTGATATTCCTCTGAAATGTCAGTGAACTACCAAACTGCATGTCATCGCATTCCAGAACATAATACTCTATGTACTTGAAAATGTTCTGGCCAACATTAAGAAAAGTTCCTTGTGACCAAAAATAAAAAAAGACAAATCAATAATGTCATCTGTATTGAAGATTGTGAATTTTCTACACTATAAACTGCTGTGCTTGAACTGTGTAACATGTGTAACATGCTATGTTCATGAAGCAAAGTATTCGTTCCAAGCGTCAAATACCAGGATACTACAAGGAGTGAACACATTGCTATAGTGCAAAGAATATACCAAAATAAATAATTCCAGTACTTCTTTTTTATTCAGCCATCATGTATGACAGCAAGCTTGTCTACAGTCATACCTCACACATCTGCCACCACACTGCATGTTTCAAGCTGGTGCCTAAAATCAAGTGTGAAGGTACTGGCAAACACGATGTTAGGAGAAAGGCACTGACAATATGAAATAAGATATTTTTTACAGTTGACAGTTATTTAATTGATCAAGAATCCTCTGTTATTATAGGCCCTGGATGTTAATCACTAGTATAAACAGTCCTAACAATGGTTCTGTTCTAAGTCCGTTCAATGCTGGTCATATATTCACAACTACCATTTTAACATTACTTTCCCATCTGCATTTATGTCTCAGACATCACTTTTTCCTTCCAGATTTTCCAACTAAAATTCTGTATGCACTTCTTAGTGACACACATGAGCTAAGTGCTCAGCCTATAATAACCTTGATTTTATTAATTTGATGATGCCTGGTTAACTGAATAAACAATAAAGTTCCTCATTATGTAATACAACATATTCCTAAACTTACAGTTCTTTAATTACAAATGTATATATTTTTCCTCCTCTCTCATTCTCTTTCAACTCCTCTCTTCCTCCCATACTCATATCAATTTGCTCTATCCTAGGTTTAACTATAATACTTGGTACAACAGCTGTCTATCCATATAGGTCTTCTTGACCTGCAGGAATTGCTGTGCTGTGTGTTTGATCTCGGATGGTCAATGAAAACAGATATCAGAGCTTCTCTTGACTAACTAACTTTCTTTCCTCCCATCTTCTTCTCAGACTTTCAGATAGACATATTCTAAATGAGTCTTCCCACAAAATTTTGAATATGTTCCTTTTCTCTCCCATCCTAGCCACATGCCCAGTCCACAAAAGCCTCCTAGATTTCATTATCCTAACAATACTAGTTGATCTATACAGATGCAAAATTTTCTAGTTATGTAATATCTTAATCTGTTGCTTATTACATATTTCTTATATCCAAACAGGGGGCATGCGGTAATGTAGTTGGTTGAGGCATTATGCAACAAGCTGAAAGGTCATGAGTTTGAATCCTGATGAAGTAACTGGATTTTTCAATTGATATAAACCTTCCAGCCGCACTATGGCCCTGGAGTCGACTCAGCCTCTAACAGAAATGAGTGCCAGGAATCTTCCTGTGGGGTAAAGGGCAGTCGGCACGCAGGCTGACAAACTCACCACCATCTGTGAAACAATTGTCTAGAAAATATGGAAGACTCGATGTCTCACAACCTTATGGGCCTACATGGCCTGTTACAGGGATGGGCTTACCTTTTACTTTTTTTGTTCGAACACATTTCAGTACATTATTATTAACTTTTTTGGGCATACTGGAACAGTTTGTGAAGCTATACAGGAGCTATACTGAGGAGCAATACAGAAGACTGTTGCATTTAACAAGCAGGGCAATGAAAATATATAAAAAGATGAAGTACAGTGAAATCGTCATAGTTCCTAATTATGCACTATGTTACAAAGACCATAAGGTGGTGGAGGTATAGCTCCATGCATTCTTATCCTGACCATTAAATGGTGGTCGAATTGCTCCCAAGGAAATAGCCCCCAGAACACACTGGATAGGGGGCTGGGTGGGACCTAGACCCTCTGGATGCTCCGGCAAAGAGAAAAATAATTTGCCCCATCAGGAATTGAACCCTGATTCCTTGGTATTCCACTCTGTAGCCCGTTGGCTATACTGGCCTATCTATTCCAGCACTAGAAACATTGAATATGTACAGATTAAAAGCTGTATAAAATGGGAAAATGCTGGAAGAAGTTGACAGCATAAGGTGAGAAAATAGAGGCAGAAAATTTGATTTTATACGAGTGATGCTACAGGAAGTTAAAGTCTGTAAGAAGTAGAGTCCTTTTTATGTCAGATAGACCATAGTAATAGACAGCATCCAACAATCCTCTAAAATATCCTCCTTGTGGTCTACCATGAAGTTTGATGAGGAGTTTCTCATTTTGAATTAAACCAAACTCTGAAAAGATTCAAATTTTGAAAAGGAAAAAGGAAAAAAAAAAAAAAAAGCAGACAAGTATGGCATGCCCATAAGTCTTTCTTAATTATTTCACTTCATATAAAGAAGCCAAAATTTTGGGCAGCTTGTCATAGCAGAATAATGCATTAGTCTTAAAAACAGCTGGAATTATCGCATGAAACTCACCCTTCTGTTTGCAGAGCTGTAGCAGGTACATGAACCAAGAAGTCATGAGATTGAGGGGAGAAGGGGTAGTGGTGGTGCGATGCATGTTGCGGATCAGTTTGGCCAGACCATACTTCCATTCGATATCTGACTGTGCCTGGATTCGCTGGTAAGTATCGCTCATCATGGCAATCAGTAGATTAATAAGGACAACCACTGACACTGACATGTATACCATAAACATGATTTTGAAAAGGTATTCTGTCCACTGCGGTCTTGAGCCTGATTTCTGCACATCTTTCACACTTGACATACCAAACACAGCAAAGAACAGGTGTTCAAATGCCTCCAATGGTGTGTAAAGTACTGTAACATTTTTAAAAAGAGAAACTGCATTACAACATGTACAAAACCAAACTAATTCTTGAACTTAGGCTTTTAGAGCTGACGTCTGCTGCATCAAACTGGTTTTAGGGCAAGAGCCTGCCATTTTCACCCACTTGTTGGTAACTGCATTTTATTATGCAAAATGTTAGATACTGTTGCTATATTTTCTAGAACCTACTTACAGGTATAATGTATAATGTGTGGTAGAATGCCTCATTAAGTTCTGGAGAAGTTAATTACTCATATCTTCAGATTTCTTTCTAAAGTCAAAAAATTCATTAAAAAGTAAAACTGCAATAGAACTAGAAAATGAAATTATAATGTAAGCACATTTATAGCAGTTACAGTAATTAAATATAAAGTGGGTTCAATTAATAGAGTAGGTATGAAGTGTGAAGAAGTTAATGATGTGTGAGCAGTGATATTCAGCATCTGGTACTACATTTTACAACTAATTTGTAGTTATCTGTTGAGTTTGTGCCCTGCTTGCAAGACGTTCAGAGAGGATCAATAGATTACAGTGACAGCAACTCACTGCTTTCTATTGATCCAATCAGAGGCAAAATAAGAAATTTATTAATGTGAAATGGAAATGTATAAGAAAGAGTTACAAAGTTGACATTCATAGATTCCTTCCAGCCAGTTCCCTGATTAAATATGAGGTTTCATGTTTTGCCAGTGATTAGTGACATATATAATATAACTCAAACCTTTAAGCAAGTACCAAATATAAGACAGAATTGGGGCTCCTTCCTAATAGGTACATTTCAGAAATTGCATAAATATACTTTTGATTTTACCTCAAATTGTGACACATGTTAACATATTTGTATCAGTCTGCCCCGCTTAAATGGCTTGCTCCATAAGTTTTTCAGGTGGAAGAGCCTTGCCCACATGTTACACAACTGCTGGCATAAGGCAGTGTGATCTCTAGCAGGTAAATACATATTCTGAAATATTAATCTCTCTTAAGAGTGACTATATCTTTTTCATACAAAACTATTCCCTTAGTGTTTTGTATTCAAATGCCTCTTAGCATTGTTCCACATTCATTTCAATTAAATTACAATGAAGCAAAGTTATAATTGATTTATCTTTTTGTACATATTCTAAAAAAATGGAGCAGCAGTACTAGACCCCTATTACATCAGAGATTTAACAGTATTTAAAAGAAAAGGAAAGAACAGTATACTACACGATACCTTTCCTTTCTCTTCTTGTGATAGTTATCACAAATATGTAAGCATAGGTCAGACCTCTCAAATCTAGCATTCCATGGTGTGGCATGCGTTAGCTTGATGGACAACTTCAAGAAGTGCAAGAATTCTACTATATTCATTGTACCAGTACCTTAAAATTGTGTAACAAAGCTAACATATTATATTATGATGGCTTATTTGGGTGTTTTGATACTGAAATGTATTGACTACTTGTGGTCTGGAAAATTCTCTGGTCCAGGTATAGTCTTATATCAAGAGTGCCAGATTTGAGATGTCCAACCTGTACTCTACTATTTATAATGGGCTGCAGTTTACCTACAACATGGGCAATCCATAATCCATAATAATCTGTCAGCATAGAATATTTTTAAAAACTGAAAGCGGAAAGAGACTGAAATGTAATATAGGAACACACTGTGACACACACCATGGCTGGAAAACACATGCACACTTATGTCAAACCATGCAATCTGCGACCTAATCAGCAGCATTAAGCTAAGCTTTTCACTCCTACGGACATATGATTATTGTCTTTCTATTCTATGGAGCCAGGATAGCTCAGTCAGTGTAGCAACTCAGGTACTGGCTGGACAACCAAGCAATCAGGGCTCAATTTCCAGCAGGAGTAAAGATTTTTTCCTCCATAGCAACCAGAGACCGCCTCTGTGGTATAGTGGTTAGAGTTCCTGGCTACAGAGAGGTCTTGGGTTAGATTCCCAGTGCTAGCAGATTTTCTGAGAAGTAGTGGGTCTGGAACGGGATCCACTCAGTATCATGGTGATAACTGCAGAGCTATTTAAAAGAAATAGCGGCTCTGGGGATCCGTTGCCCTGACCACGCGACACCTTCTATCTGCAAAAGGTGGCACTAACTTCGCCGATAAGAGGCAGTCGCTCAGTTGGTATATTTCGCTTGCGGACTACAGGCTACAGAGTTTGTTTGTTTGTTCATAGCAACCCGACTCACTCTAGGGCCTACCCAGCCTCATACCCAATGGGTACTGGGGTTTTGGATGAAGCAGCAGGGATTTGAATCTGACCACTCACCTCCATCAAGTACTGAGTTTAAAAATGATGGAGCTATATTTCAACCTCCCCACATATCTTCATGGAGTGATGCTTAATATTTAAGCAGAGGAACAACTTTACTTTTACCTGTTACTTTATGGTAGCCTCTGGCTTGCATAAGAGAAGAGTGAAGGCAAGGACAGTTGGTGAAAGCAACACAGTGAGCTCTGATATTGGGAACAGGTGGAAAGGAACTGTTGGAAATAATAATATTATGCAGCTCATTGTTACTGTGTTTGATTGCAAACAGTTTTGCTTGTAGTTTACCTAATATGTGTCATCTTCAAATTGAATGGTTTTAACCTGCTGCACTAGAACACCTAGTCTGGCTCATGAAGCAAGATGGCGTCTGTTTTGAGCAGCATGACAGTAACTTCATGATTATTTTCAAATAACTCGTTCTTTATATTTCACGCTGTCTCTAATAGAGGGAACAAAAGTGTTAGTCTCAACTTTTAAACATCTAGGTTTTGGACCTCATATCTTAAGTTTTGGTAAACAAATATAAACAAACATGAATATGAACAAACGCCAGAGAAATATCATGACTGCAAATATAAACAGCTGGTGCAGATAAAGCAGCATGCAGTTTAAATACTCATACAAGAGGATAAGCTGATTATTATCACCATGCTAAAATCTTAACATTCGATCATTCTCACACACATTTCTTATCAAACTGATCCCCATATATTTGATCAGACAAGATAGTGAGAGCTAAAATTCAGCAGATTCCATACAATAATACTGGAGGAATGTAGCATCAAATAGAGAAGAATGGCGAGCAATCCTGAGGAAGGCCAGGGCTCACAAAGGGCTGTCATGCCAGTGATGGTGATGACACAATAATAGGAGAATAAAAAGAGATGAAACAACTCAAGTAAGCAAACACTGCTGTAAGTCTTATACACCATTAGCATACTTCATGACATTGTGAATAAAAGACTTGATTCTAAGTGGTTCATTTACAAAACTAAATTTCTGTAAAAGGAAAAGTGTTAATATAGCAGCTAATAACTCTTCTCTCATACAGTCTAGCTCCTGAATGCCTTCAGGGAAGTTCTCTATAGTACCAATGTCTCAATAACATTAAAAATAACAATATTTTTATGAAATAATTGGGTAAAATCGTGGGCTACACTTTGTAAGAATAGGGCCAGAGGTGGTTAAATGGAAAATCTCACGTGCCGTAACATTAAAACGTTTGTGTCGAATCTCTGAGATAAGGCACTGCATCCCTGTTACAAAGATCAACTGGTTAACGTTTAGGAGAGCTCTCACCGTTTGCTATTAGAACATAAAACCCATGAACATATACGGAGTTTGAAATAGTAAAGCATTTACCTCTAAACTTCACACTTCAAAGCAATAGCATAGATAGGCACACACCAATTTACTATCAGAGTATTCAGATCCATGTGTGATGTATATTTGTGTAATTGAAATCCAACCAGTGCTCACTCTGGTGACACAAGTCACAGATGCAGACACACATGTGGCATAGGACTACCTTCACTGAAGAGCCCTGAATACGAATAATTAAATTCTTGTGTTATAACTGGACCAGAATCATCTGAAATAATAGTTCCTGGAGGTCTTCCAGGAAATGGACTCCTTTTATCCCGTCTTATATAAGGAAGAGGATGGATAGGCACAGTGTTCTTTATTTCAAATTCAACGGTGGTGGTTTCAGTGCTGTTCTCTTCATCAAGATAAGCCAGTAGAGTATTGTAGATGACCATATCTGATTCAGTTGCAACTGGGAAATACCATTCAAAGAAATCAAACAGATATTCAAATTTGCAATAGATACGGGTGATATCTGTAAGAAATAATACTTCAGATATTAAGATATGCTAAATATTTGCTGCCATGGTAACACAAATTATACTTAATTTAATTTGACATGTAAAGAGCCTTTCCATATCCTCTACTATCCTTCACACTGCTGTAGTTGTATTTTTCACAGTAGCATGGTTTCAACTGAGGTGCCTTGGGGCAAAAATGGTGTGGTTCTAAAAGAGTAAAATCAATCATTTACAACACTTGTAAATGCAGCTTTAATACTATTCTAGTTTCACTTGCTTCCTGAAACTTTATAAACTGGAGCTACATCTTCTTTTGTACCATGCACTGCAATTCATTCAAGAATATTAGATTTTTACTTCAAATTGGACAATGAACAAGTTGATCTAGAAGTAATGTTCTTAACCTTGTATTCAGGATATGTGTGGTTCATGTCTTGGCTGAGACACCCATTTTCCTGACTGAGGATTTTTCTAGTTATCCTCAGTCCTACCAGGCCAATGCCAGGTTAGTACCTGGCCATGACCACTTCCTTCCGAATCATTTTCAATTAACCACTTATCTCTAATTCAGTGCTGTGCCTAATCCTGATCCTGAAAACATCTTTAAACAACCCACATCTTTGAAAATGGGATTCAAGAGTCAACATCATGAAAATTTAATTAGGTTATTACAATTCACTATTATTCTTGTGATTAAGTGAGGTATATTTATTATTTTGATTTCCACCAACAGCAGCCATATATAAATGTACCATACATTAAAGATTATACGTTTCAGTCTTTTGACCACAATGAGGTATTGTACATGTACCTTTAACTTATCTCCTCTTTCTCTACATTGGACAGTGCTTACATATGTGTATAATATTTACATATTATTGCAATGCCTTTGTACTCATCTTAATTACAACACTAAAGCACTAAAATGTCAAATATATGGTTATAATGTTTCTTATTAGTTAAAATGCCTTCACTATAATAGACAAATACAAAATTGTTGAATTGGTTGTGATGTCCTTTTTTGCATCACATTGTAGTGCAGGCAGTTGACATGATGCCATGATGTAACATTTCTAAGCGAGTTATACGCATTTCTGCACTATTATAAGGACAAACTTCCCAGGAAAAAGAAGGCAGGCAGAAAGACTGTGAAGCACATCTCCATATGCATGGTAACATTTTCTTCTTATATAGTTCCAGCAACAATATGGTATAAAGGTGTGTAAAATTCCTGCTGATCCATGACCCTATATTATTTCTTGTTCCTAAATATAAACAACTATATCTTCATTATACACTGATGTAAGAGATCTATGCATCTTTGGTTGCACTGTGGTTTAAAGGTTTAAGCCATTAGAATTACTGTCTCCAGAACCAATCATAAATCATTTTTCTGTATCAGTTATATTTTCTGAACCCTTTCACAGTTCTGGATGGAACAGTTATAACATGCAGGAAAGCTTTATGAATGGAACTATTACACAAGCTTTACATGGCATTGGAAGATAAAATTTAATTTTAGAGAAATTTTATGGTACAAAAAGGAGCCAATAACAGCAAATTCGACATTTCAAATATGTGAAATTAATATTTATGTATTCAGCAGGGAAATAGCACGGGCATGGTAAAATACTGACTGTCTGGTGAACAGTGGCTACTGCACAATTCAATGATGTTATTCATATTTATTCAAATATGACTAACTCAAAAACATCTTAATGCTCTTCATACTATGAATAAGATATCTCAGATATACTGATCCGCTGCTCTAAAGAATTTTAATATTTAATAATACGTACCAAAAACATTTCTTTTATCATTAGCTATATTTTTTCCTGTTCCACAACTGAAAATATGCCTAAGTTATTGTGAAAATATCCAGACAATAGAAGGTAATTCAGATAAATTAAATTTAGTGTGCAAAGGTGGAACAAATCATTATGAAAGCAATTTTTATTTTCTGTTGAAGAACTCTTAGTGACAAGTATATGTCAGTGTTAGAGAGATAGACTGATTATTATTTTCACAGAACTTACCTTCACTGAAGGTTGCTGAGACCCTTGACTTGTCTACTTTTGGTCCAACTTTTGAGGGTGGTTGAAATGGCTGATTCAGTGAGACCATGTTCATGGAGAAGCCAAACACAAAGATGGCAAGGACAGCCAAAAATCGTGCCAGGTCCTTTAGAATAAAAGTAAGAAATTTCAAATTTACTATCAGCTTAAAAGAACACAGTGTTGATAGAAATATCAAGTGAGGACAAGTTCTGTATCCACCTTGTGGATGTCTGGAATACTGAATAAATACTAATACTAATTAAGGCAAACATCCTGCGCCCCTTATATTGCAGTCCTATTTTGAATGTTTCATTTATTTCTTTACTTCTTTCATTTATTGTTGCTATTTCAACTGCAGATGTTATCTGATGCCAGATGAGATGAGAAGATGGCCATGAAGGGTGAGTAGGAACAGATTAAGAAAATGATGGTCATGACCTCTTTTAAGGCACTATCCATTCATTGTCTGGAAGACTGATGAATATTACAAAAAGACTTCAAATGATAATCAGGCCTAGAATCAAATGAAGTACTTCCAAAACATGAGTCTAGAGTGTTGTCACTACAGCAATCTGCAAAATTGTTTCTGATGTGAATTCCTTGATTTGGTCCTATAATATTTTATTATCACACTATTTATTCTGTTCTTCTTTATTTTACCATGAAAATGATGATGATACAGTGTGAACCATCAATTGTGTTCCCTTGGCTTTCCTTGTTCAAATGTACAGTTGATGAATAACAAATCTTAGCTTTAGAGCTGCTTTGGTGTCGCTCTTGATCTTCCTCCTTTCATCCTGCTACTCTCTCTCTTTCTCAGCTATGGTACCAGATCATGTGACATCACTATTCCAATAATTTTGCAAAGGGACTAGATCAGCTGCCCTAACCATATATGGTCAAGCCCATGTATAGTATATACTTGTGTGTGTCTCTAACAACAGATTTTCATTAATCTACCCAAGTATCAAACTACTTGACAACTATCTTATTAGCGATGTACTCATTGACACCGTTCCTGCTAACAGTCTCAAATTGAAGGACATTTAACTTATATTTATGTAATTTGTATTCTTATTAATTTTTTGATTAGATTGTTATTGTGCAGAATCACTGTATTTGACTTGTTCCATATCCTATGGTGTCTACCTGTATCTGGATTTTACGGAATGTAAATAAATTGAATTGAATCCTACTATCAAAAGAACAAATATGGTGGACATGACATCTTCAAAGGTAGAATGAGAGTAGGAGAGTGAAATTATATACTTAGAAGGATAATAAATATGCCTAAAATATTGTATGACACATTTGTTGCACAGGTACACATAAAATCTGTTATTTTACTGCAATGCTGCTCATGAACAGAAAGGCACAGTAATGAAAACTATACCATCTGAGGAGGTTATATATTCAAGTTTATAATCCATGTTACTTGAGTTCAAATAGTTCCACCTAAAGCACTACACCCTCAGTTGCAAAGTGACATCTGAAATAGAAAGAGCTAAATGTGTATTGTGGTTTCACAAGTCTAGATCTGTGGTTACAGTTCAAAGGAGATTTTGTATGGTGTTCAGAAGGGACATACCAACAAAAAGGTTGATTTATAAACGGTATATTGTTTGGCCAGACCAGTCACTGATGTTCAGATGACTGAAGTTTTAGAAGTTTTTGTCCACAGTAAAAAAATTAATCAACCAAACAATTAAGCATGCCACAGACAACAGTGCACAAAATTATGTAATTTTTTTTTTAATTTAAAAGTTATAGGTATCAAATTTTTCAACATGCAACTGCCAAAGACAAAGAACTTTGCTACACTTTCTTTCAAGGCTTGAAGATGATAAATTTTTACAGCCAAAATTATCTCCAGTGATGAAGCCACACTCCATTTACTGGGGAATATTACCCAACATAACCTGAGAAGGTGTGAGGGGGCAACAGTTCTCATGAAGTAACTGAACATGTGAGAGAGTTCAAAGTTGATGTGTTTTGTGCGTTGTCCAAACAAAAAGTGTTTGAGCCCTTTCTTGTCTTTCCTGTAGATACTGTAACATACTGTTTCTAGACATACTGGAGAAATTCCTCATGCCTATTTTGGAAGAGGTATGTCCCAATGACATTATGTTCCAACAAGACAGGTGCCTCTGTATTTCCATGTGAAAGTTATGGACTTCTTAGATCCCAAGTTTCCAGGGAGATTCAATAGTAGGAGCACATCCATCACTTGATCACCTGGTTTGCATGACATTATTCCCCCACTCCTTTTTTTGAGTGAATATTAAAGATGCTGCAAATGTGCCATCATTGACTAACATTTTGGAGGACCTTGCTGGGAGGATAAGGGTTGCAGTGGCCACAGCTGCCCTCAACTAACTTAACATGTGAACTGAAACTAAATAGGCCTACAGATATGATACCTACGGGGCCACATTAATGGTAGTGTTGTGATAATACTGCATGTTTGTCATGGGAACATCTACAGATCTTTAGGCCATTCTACATTTTCCTTATTATGTTCTGTGTTGTCATGGAAGATAAAATCTTCTGGCAGAAAAAGTTTAATTTTTATATTAACAAAGAACAATGTCATGAATATTAAATCTCAGTAATTGTGGATATCAATACATTCAAAAATAAGAATAAAAGGAGAAATATCATCACAGAAGCGGAAATAAAGTGTAGAGAAATGGATCACTCAAATGGATTCAACTGGCACTGAATAGATTTCAGTGGCAGTCTGTTGTGTTGCGGTCACTAGTTTTTTCTAGAACTTCTTCTTTACAGTATGTACCCAGACTTATGATAAATTTACACATGAATGAATACAACACAAAATATTCATACCTTCATCAGGTTGCCAATGATGATGGCCCATGGACCAAACAAATGATGAAATGAGAGAAAGTCAAGGATCTGCACACAGGCAAATAGGAACGACATGGAAAACATTTGGTTGCGCACATACATCACTGTAGGCCAATATTTTTTTTCCAGAATACCAGTCATTGCAAAGCTATGGATACCAACTCCAAACACCCCAAAGAGAAGTACACACAGTTTGATCCAGCCAAGACCTGTCTTGTCACTAGGATTTGTCAGTTCAAACAGTAGCAAGCCTGACAACCATATGAGGAGCACATATTCATACCTGTAAACGAAATATCTGAAATGTATAACAATATTCTTTCTGATCAACTCAAGGCTGAGATGGATGGGACCTGAGCACATGTAAAAAAGTATGTAATTTACATAAACTTAATGACCTGGTGTTTCAAGGAAAGAAGTCATGTGCGAAATATTGTCGCTAATGTGAAAGTAATATTAAAACATATTTCTAGAGAATAAGATCTAAAAGTGGGAACTGGACTGGCTCAGGACAGGGTCCAATGTCAGACTTTTGTGAACAGAGTTTTAGAAAATTTTAGATTCCTTGAACACAGAAAGGTAGAGTCAAGGGCTCAGGAAAGCTCTGTATCATGAAGTTAGATCCAAATGTTCACTGTCAGGCTGACTAATTTCAGGCACAGGATCATCTTGATTTAGTAATATTTATTTATCTGATCAAGAAGCAAACACAAAGTAGCTGATTTTGATGGGGCTAGAAGCCAGAATAATGAGAAGTAATGTTATAGAGTTTGAATGATCATCACCTTCTTTACAAAATCGTGTTCTTGGACCCTGTCTTTGGATAGTCAAAACCAAAATATGTATGGGGTTTATTTTTAACATAAATATTCCTATGATATTTCAGAAACTAATTTGGACCACAAAAATTGTACACCATTGGCATCATACTCAATTTTGTCTATTCAAAATACATACATAAAATTAATTCAGAGGTTTAAAAATATGGCCAATTTCTGAATATTGTTACGAAAAATTCCATACAAAATAAACTATATCTGCTGCCCTGCAAGTACTATTGGTATTATGATTATCATTTGGTCATGTTTTACAGCTAGAAAAGTAACTTCAATCATGAGAATCAGCAAACATCATACAGCAGTCAAAGTACATATATACTAGGATTACATAAACATTCTAAAGAAAAATTTGCAAAGCGAGTTGTTACATACCAGTAAGGCAGCAGCTTTGGCCGTACGGTGGGGTAGACAGGAGTGACACCAGTGAGCATGAGGAACACCATGAGGTATATGTGTGAAGTGAGGTATGACATAAACTTTATGATGGGAACCTTGTAGTACTTGTGACCAAGTGGAAGCGTAAATGTCACCCACACTGGGGGACAGAAGATGAATGCAAAGAAGAGAAGCATTGTCCGCCACGCAGCCCAATTCAAGTTACCTTGCCAAAGTTCCTAGTTAGCAAACAGAAAAACTTGTCACAAAGAAAATTCTTTACTAACTCTTAAAGACAATATTATGGCAGTAGGAGGGACTTCAAAACAAGTTAAACCAGCCAATTTGATTAGGTTAACTGGTTGAAAGACTATTCGATGCATAGATCCTTCATTATCTACCAGCATATTAAAGAGTAATTAACCTTTATTGTCTATGTAGTGTACAACTGCATTGGTGCACATGAGGGTGCAGCAGGCTCTAGCAGACCTATAAATGTCATTACCACCAAACAAAATCTAGCCACAAGCAGCATAGCAGTTGATATCTAAATTCGCTATTCCTGAATGATAAAGTATAAAAACTCCATTTAGAACAAAAATGGAAATATATATGTTTACTTTGATGTTTATTTATTGCATAAACAAATCTAATATTACAAAGCCAATACATTACAAACTTCACACTGCAGACAGTAATAAATTAAATTTTTTGCACTTCATTTAAAATAATTAAACATTAAAAATGACAATCTTAATGCACCCATATTAAGCAAATCACTTTTAATGTGGGTCTTCATTCTAAACTCCATCAGATTTTGTCAAAGGCTTAAAGTAAAAGAAGAAAGTCATCAACCAACACACACATAAAGAATTTGTTTTTTACACATACCCAAAAACATACAATTAAACTGCAATACAATACTACTAATACACCCCTGACACTGACTGATCAAAGAATTAATTGGCAACTGACCAATTTCAAGAATGTAACACAAAGTATCTGCAAGTTCATATTCAAGAGCAACAGAACTGCAGTCTATCATTAAAAGTTAACACTATTATTGCATATCGCCAATGGAGAGTATTTATTGGCATAATTCTCAAAACAAATGTTATTTTCTTAAACCATAATAAGCAGTTGGTCTTTGTAATGAATATACAGTGAGTGTTATCTGCAATGCAGGAGCTGAGTATTCAATTTTTTTAACTCAAGCTTCAAGCGGGGCAACTAATGAAACAAGTATTTCAATCTACTACAATAAGAAATACTTCAATTATGAAATTTATATATTTATTTATGTTATTAATTTTTAGCTTGGTCTGAATGTGCCAGTTCCTGGTTAAGTTGTAAAGATAGCATATCCTGTTTTGAAAATATTATAGAATCACATAGAATACCAGTAAGTATTAGCAATAAATATTTAAATAATTGAAGTAATCAAAATTATCCAGATTTCATATCATTAGAATAAGTTACACTTAATACATGGAAAATCCATTTCTTTCTCTTGTCTTGCATTTGGTTAACACAGATTTGGCATTATTTCATCCAAAATGTCTTTGTTCCTTCTGCAGTCTTCCTCAGCAAATTCTGAGTCCATCTCATGAATTTTATCATAGTATGTGCTTCTGGATTCATCTGTGACCTTCGTTGCCAAGGATTCAATAGCACAGGAATTTGGAAGAGCTAGTTTATATATTTCTGACCTTCTTATGATATAAGCATGTTGTAGCTCTGTACTTTTAGAAATCTGGTGGGTTTCTTTTTTAATCTATGTCACTTTCTTTTTCATAAGACGATGAGCATGCAAAATAACTGAAAGGATTGATTTGTTTTATTATTTTGTTTTGTATCATGATTTTACTTCTGATCAAACCTTGTCTTTGAGTGACAGTTTTTTGTCTGTCTTTTGAAACCGCTCTCTCTCATATTAATTAATATAGGCTAGAGTGGGCCAACAAATGGCCCACGTTCTTCCAGCTTAACAATGATGGTACATATCATTTGAAATTCTATGCAGGTTCACAGTGGAATGCTCTTCCTTCATCTTCTCTGTTGATAAATCACATCATCTTATTCATGATGGGTGTTTCTGCTGCCTTAATTTGCCCTTAAGTTTTGCAAATAACTCCTTGAAGAAGGAGTCTTCTGATATTTTAGTCACCCCTGATGTTTGTTCCTGCAATGGCAACCAAACTGTTGGCACTCCTTTTTCGAAAACATATTACCACTCATGAAAGATTAAGCTTATCGACTGTTGGTGTTTGTGACAGAAAGTAATCCACAAACTTCAGAACAGGCTACAACAAGAATTTTAATTATGAATGGTTTGATTACTCAAAGGAACATCATCACAGAACAGAGGTGGCTGAATTGTAATGGAAGAACAATCCAGAGATCAAATTTTTTTCAGATTAAACCATTATGTGAATTCATCTCTTAATCAGCATGTTACATAGTGAAATAATAAATAGTTCTACAAGGTTTAACTACATNTTCTTCATAGTCACCGCCGTGAAAGCCTCAAATCTTACAAGGTTTAAATACAAATCTTCTCTAAAAGTACACTTGGTTAATCATGAAATTCAGATCATGATGTTGAAGGCCACATGAATGATATATGTTTCTTGATTCTTTACCATGACATTTAACTTCACTGCATCCTGGTACTTCTGATGCGCCTGGTCATAGCCATTATAACGTTCAGGCATGTGAAATATTATGCATGTATCTTTTATATTACCCATTTTCTTCCTTCACATTCAACTTGTTGAGGTAGTGCATTTGTTTGTTGTAATACCTAACATTTCAGCTGTCCATAGAATCATAAGCTATTGGTATCTATTAACAAATAAATTACATACAAGCTTTCAAATCTAGTACGGCAAAATAATCCTAGTGTGAAAGCAACATGAAACTGCCTTCCTACCTTTTAAGCGTTCAGCAACAAATATTACTTACCTGTAAGTATCTCTGCACCACAGTGTGTGCAATGACCTCCTTCTGCTCATTCTCAATGAGAATGTCCAAGAATTCTACATTTCTACGATCTGTGGCCGTGAGGATTCGCCCTGCTGAGTCAGCACCTGCTGCTAGAGCCAGCAATTCTGTTGCCATTGTCTCACATTGCTTCCCTGCAGCTATGAGATCTTTGGCTCGTTCCTTCTCCTGAACTCATGAAATGGAGAAAATCAGAGTTAATTATCTCTATCAGGCCTCTGGAAAATAGAACGGCTAGTTACTTTACAGCTATGAAAAATTTAAAACGTAGTCAAATGTGAAAGTAAATGGTAAATATGTTCTGGTACTTATGCAGCATGCTATGGAGACATATGGGTTAGTTAAGGGAAAATTCATGCAACTTTAACTTTATGATTAGATCAAGATGACCGAAGTCTTACCATATTACCCAAAGTACTCACTGGAGAACAGGACACATGGGCCTCAAAACCAGCTGGAACATCATAATGAAGAGAAAAAATCGCTGCTTCTACCAAGAATTAAATTCTTATTATGCAGCCTGTAGTCAGTCACTTTTTTTGACTGAGCTACACTGGCTCATAAATTTTAAGCAAAAGTTGTCAGCCTCCTTTCCAGTATATGCTACAGAAAATGTGTTCATAACATTTTCATTCCCATCAATAAACAAGTATGGTGTATCATATGAGAAAACGCCACACTGAGAATCAGATAATGGAATTTGATTGTGAAAGAGCTCATTCATTTTCTAGGCAGGTCAGACAGCCTATAACTTTGAACAATTCATTTTTGATATCTTAACTGTCAGAAAGATGAAGAAAATCATACAACAAGGAACCTTATAACCTGTAATCTTCAACAGATGTTACTGTTGTTAGTCAAGGAGTATGATGGATATGTAGGTGTATATGTAGGGGAGAGATGATAAGTACTCGTATGTTAACAGATTTTAGCTGCAAAATGTGAAAGGAAAAAAAAAAAATCAACTGGGAGAGCTTATGAGAAAATGGCACTAAACTGGATAAGAAATGGGGTTTAAGAGAGTAGTTTGCATTCTACTGGCTTAGTCAATGTTTCAGTACTGGCCTACTAGAAATACTGAAATGAACCTTCGGTTTCCACAGAAAATGGAGAGTTTCTTGGCCATGGAAGTGACTGCCAGCTACTCAAAGATCCATGGAGTTGGTGAAGTATAACTTACTTTTGTTGAGAGGACCATATATATGTTGGACAGCTTTGCTGCAGTATCCACAGGTGCAGGAGAAACAAGAATGAAGTCCTCAATTGGCCTGTTATTGTGTGCCTTGCTGACCACCATCAGGTTGTAAACAAACTGCACAAAAATGGTGTAAGAGTAACCGAGTGGCACCCCCAGACGAAAAAAAATGACAGAATGAGAAGCATGCTACTTAGCATTCCAATGATAGATATGGATATGCAGACAAGTATAATTTAAAACTCTTTGTGACTAAATGTGTGTTCACTTCTGATCAAATTGAAGATTCAAATACGAATAAAGGCACCTATTTCTATGTATGCATATCATGTTTCTCAGCAAAATGGCTCTTTAAACTATAATCTTTATTGTATTATCAACTGAAGTTACTGCACTGTAAGATATGAATCTAATGTTCCAATTCATAAAGCCACCAGAAACTGTTCACCACCAGTGATGACAGTTTACTCTCAAGCAGGCACACTGTCCACTGCTTCACAATTCAATCACTGAAATATTTAGTCTTTTCTCCAGAAAAAAAAAACCTCTTCATACATTGCAGTAAAAGAGTCAATGAATCAATCTTTTATTTTGTGGTTATATATTGTGACATGTCAAACCGTTGCTGGGCAACAGGATGCTAAACTATGTTTTTATTGCAATTTCTGGAGGTATATGTGGCCTTTCAAAAAGTGCTAGTGTCTAGCTGGTCAAAGCATGATTTATGAAAGACAGACTGATCGAAATGAAGAATATGAAGTAGAAAAATGGTCTGAAATGAAATCAGAAATACAGAATAAACAATAAAATGTAATAAACCTTGTTTTACAATGAATAATAAAGTAAAGTAATATATGTAACTCAAAATGAATAAACTTTGTATGTACATTTCTTCATTTGATTATATTAAAAACTAAAGTGGAGTACACATCCATAATACCATTTTTAATAAAAAAAGGCAAATCTGATTTTTCCTAAATTAAAATTTAGTTTTACTTGTATACAGCCTGCATAACAAAAAGTGGTACAATGCAAAAGGGGCGAAAAATGGAAAGCTCTGATTTAGAGTCGTACCCTCTTGTCTTCCATAAGGCTATAGGTATCATGCTCCTTTCCCATGAGGTACTTGAGTACTTCATTATGGCCCTCAGAAGCAGCAAACCAAATTGGGGCACTGCCAAAGTTGGTTTCTGCTTTAGGAGATGCTCCAGATTCCACCAATAACTTCACCACATCTAAAAAACCTGCTCTTGCAGCACAATGCAGTGATGTCCAACCATTCTGTAACACCAGCAGCTCGATACAACACTTGTGGCTCCAGGAACTTGGACTTTCAGTAATTGACCATGCATCCTTGTTCCAGTTAGCTATTTTGATAGATGTGTTTAATATTACAATAAATTCCATAAGCATTTCCACAAGGATTATGTATTTTGGTTCCAATGAGCTATCTTTAGAACATTTTCTATTACACATCTTAACTGCAATAAGCAGTCAACAGCAATAACAATGAAAAATAGTAACGTAAGTACTCAAGAAATCTTTGAAGATAAGTCAAGCCACATGTCCTTTATTTATAGACAAGTTTATTATGTAGTTACTATAGGATTCTGACGATGGTGTATAACACACAGAGATATTGGGTTTTTGGACTTTATCCATCCTGGTTTTAAGATAAATAAGTGATTGGGGCTAGCTATTTCTAAGGGACCCAACAGAATAGGTTTCTTTCCTTCACCTGAGGACGGAAACAGATCCATTTTCCAAAACATCATGATGTTCTTAGTTATCTTAAAACCAGGACAATGGATAAAGTCCGAAAACTCAATATATCTGAAGTTTATTATGGAATATGGTTAAATGAAGATGATGTGAACTCCTTTTAAACAAAGAAGCACTTTTCAGTAGTTATAGTACCTCTCTGATTAAGAATTATAACATACACTTGGTCATCGACTTACAACCAACTTCCATTCTGATTGATCGATTTGGTCATATGTTGGCCATATATTTATTTACAGTATTTTTTAACCTTTTCAATCTGTTTATCATCTTTATAGTTTATTTTTAAAAACTTTTACATTTTAATCATCTTTTATTTTTCATTTTTTTTGTGGTCGTAAGTACATAGGTCGACGACTAAGGGTATTCTAAAGATATTAATATGTAATTATGAAGTGTACATGATGCCTATGTGAGAAATTTGTATAATATAAGGGAAAACGCTTTGAAGGTGGCTCAACAGTTCCAAAGCAAATTAACAATGTGATTAAAGTTTTGACACAATTTAATGGAATATTATATACAGGCAACAGATGGCAAAGAAGTTTTACTATTTTAGACAGTGACAACACTTGATCAGGAAACTGCTGATTACAACACATATACCACTTTAAGTTTCTATATAATATTTATTACAAATTATGAAATAATAATTTTAATCATTATATTCCACTTACATATAACATCTGCATTTCACGCAATAATCACAAAAGTCTAAATATTCAGTTCAATGAAAAAACAAATGAAAAGTGGGTTGGGAATGTGTTTCCTGTTAACAGTTGTAGGATACAGAATTGTGGGTCATAAATGAAATTGAGGCATTAGTGAAGTAGGATTAACAGATATCAACGTAAGAATAAACATAAAAAGTATATCAAATCAAACAAGACATCTGGAAACTGTAAAACTACATCCAAACACCGCTATATCAATATAAACTGAAAGGCAGAGATGCTTGGAGCATCCTAAAATAACATTGAAGGAAGAAATTTAATATTTTAATTGGAAGTTGCCAGGAACTTAACTTCTAATGTTGTCTTCATTATTTACACCTTCAGTATGTTTTCCATATACAGTGAGAAACAAAATTGTATATCCATGTAAAATAAGATGTTAAATTACTCTTTCAGAGATTTTCATCTTTCAACTTCTAAGTTTTGTGAAAGGGAACAAGGAGATAAAGGATTCTGAATTAAATGGAAACAAATGTTTCTCCAATTTAATTTCATTAAGAGTGTTGGTTAGTTACTGCTGAGTCAAAGAGTTACTCTACCATTCACCAAAACAACTTCCATGGACTAATATATTCCAGAAAATTCACACACGATCTGAGACTGCTCCCAGCTGAGGACACAATTTTGAATACCTCTAAAACTCACCTTGTCAGTCGCATTTATCTCTGCACCCTGACCTAATAGCACCTCACACATCTGGTAGCGGCCATGTTGAGCAGCTATGTGAAGTCCAGTCTTGCCATGCTTGTCTCCACTCTGAAGCAGTTCTGCAGATCGACTCAGAAGTAGACCAACAACAGTTATGTGGCCACCAAAGCATGCTAAATGTAGAGGGTTGTAACCCTAGCAAACACATTAAATCATGTAAGATTTGAGGCTTTCACGGCGGTGACTATGAAGAAAGCAGTCTTCTGGGATTTGGCACCATGTGGTTAACACCACATATACACGGTGCCAAATCCCAGAAGACTGCTTTCTTCACATTAAATCATGTCTCTATAATTGTATGCATTTAAATTTAATTTTATGGTTTCCTGCAAAATCAAATAAAATTTGAGGCTTTCACGGCGGTGACTATGAAGAAAGCAGTCTTCTGGGATTTGATTTCAAATCAAATAAAGTTATACAATGAGACCTCCACAAATAAATTTGCCTACTCACCAGGAGAGAGACTATTTTGAGTTACTTGAGTGTTTTTAAATTATCCACACTCATCTCTCCAGAAAACTGTAGTGCAGAGATTGGAGATCCTCCTTCATATTTTGGAAGTCTTGTGTTCAAATTTCAGCCCAGGGAATGATTATTCTGAGATGTTTCTTGATTATAGTCAGTCACTCAAGTCAAATGTCGATATAGTGACAAAAAAGGTCACTCAAGTCAAATGTCGATATAGTGACAAAAAAGGTCACTCAAGTCAAATGTCGATATAGTGACAAAAAAGGTCACTCAAGTCAAATGTCGATATAGTGACAAAAAAGGTCACTCAAGTCAAATGTCGATATAGTGACAAAAAAGGTCACTCAAGTCAAATGTCGATATAGTGACAAAAAAGGTCACTCAAGTCAAATGTCGATATAGTGACAAAAAAGGTCACTCAAGTCAAATGTCGATATAGTGACAAAAAAGGTCACTCAAGTCAAATGTCGATATAGTGACAAAAAAGGTCACTCAAGTCAAATGTCGATATAGTGACAAAAAAGGTCACTCAAGTCAAATGTCGATATAGTGACAAAAAAGGTCACTCAAGTCAAATGTCGATATAGTGACAAAAAAGGTCACTCAAGTCAAATGTCGATATAGTGACAAAAAAGGTCACTCAAGTCAAATGTCGATATAGTGACAAAAAAGGTCACTCAAGTCAAATGTCGATATAGTGACAAAAAAGGATGACATGGCCACTTCAAAATCCTTTTCAGTTCAACATTCTGTTACTTTATTGTTTGATGCTATATGAATTTTGAAGCTGATAAAGTGTCACTTAACCAAGTTGCCCACTATATTATTTTGTGTAATCAAAATATCTGAATAGAGGTAATACAAGAATCTAATTAAATGCCTGGAAATTATTTCATAATTTTTATAGAGGCATATGTTTTTTTATCTAAAATGTAAAATCTTTTTACTTGTATCTAGTGATATTCCAGAGCATCAAGATGCTAACATCAACACAATTTGAATAATAAATGAAGAATTACTCAGCTGATTACTCCATGAGCCTGAATATTTGACAGCATACTGCATATCTACGAAATTACTAAATTTATATAATATGTAAATCACTGTGTGTACATTTTCAGTGGTGGCTGCTTCCACTTGAACACCAGCAGAATTTAGCAGCAAACGGACAACATTTTCATTGCCTGAATAGGAAGCCAGGTGAAGAGGTGTCATGCCTGATTCATTTCCAAGCTCTCCCACTAAACTGGTTCCAGATGGGGGATCAGACTTCACAGTGGCAGGGACATATTGAAGCAACTCTCGTACAGTATCTGCAACAAAATTTACACATTCACTGCTGCAATTGAAAACATGTTAGTAATCAGAGTCTTGTAGTTTATTTTCTTATTCCAGTGCATCTGAATTTTTTTACATGGTAATGGAATAAAATATAATTTAATATGTTACTAAAACATGGCCAACATAAAGATGAAATATCTAAGTAAGAAGAAAAATAAGATTTCACTGCACATAAAATCATGTATTATAAAGTTTTAACTGAGATTTTGAGGTAAAGTGGCTGTAATGTGTCTTCAACTGACTGATCTTTATCTAGTACTGAGTTTAAGAATGTATGGAGATTTGCCTCCATACTTTATCCTTCTATGGTGATGTGTGGTCATAGAGCTAAACTTACTTATCTCATATTAATACTCATGAAATGGTTAATTATCCAGCACAATGACTAAGTACCAGTAACTAAACACAGTATGGGTCCAACTGTGAATACCTGTAAGTTATTTGATTAAGAAAGTCTCTGTTTTTATGCAACCAAAGTTCATCACTACGCTCACAAAAGCACAGGATTGGATCCTATCCAAAGCCACTTCTATCCAGTTCACACCCTAGTTCTCCAGGATTCATTATAATGTTGTCTTCCTATCCAGGGATTTCTTTTGTATCATCTGCATGATCTGGTGAATTAACATTTTTTATACAAAATATAGAAATAATAAAAAAAAATTACACATTTAGTACTAGACTGAGGCAACAGTAGGAGGTGAAATAAAGATAAACTTTATAAATTAACTTAGGTTTATTTTGTCAAAGAATGTAAACAGTATTACTCGTCTTGCTCTCATAGCTCTGTGCCAGAGCCACTCTATCTAAGCAGGTCACTGTTCCTCATTATGCTTAAGTCTCTGAAGTGTTTCCTCATTGAATGTTACATAACCTCCTATTCAATTATTCTTGATGTAGTATATGTTCCTAATTATTACAAAATGTACACACCAGCTTGTCCAAAATAGGCAGCAACATGGAGAGCTGTAACACCAAGCTTCTTGCTGGAGATGCGCAGTGACTGTGTAGATCGCATCACCTCTAGAACTTGACCATGGCCATTTTGTGCAGCCAGATGTAGTGCTGTGAATCCTGCCTAAAGAAAGAATGTTGGTAATAAAAGGAATGACCGGAGGATAAAACATCATAGTCACCTTAGCAGGAGCTGTGAATGACATAAATAATAGATTCGGATATTGAGTTTCAATAATTTTTTGCACAAAGAGCATAAGATTAAAAACAGGGAAGCGACTGTCCTTACAAATGTTTGTGCTTTGAATTACTTGATGGATATAAATGAAATCTGGTATTGGTCCTAGGTGAATCTGATTGTCGAGGGTTCAAGTCCCGCTGAAGTCACTGGATTTTTTTAATTGACCTAATCCTTCCAGCCGCACTATGGCCCTGGAGTGGACTCAGCCTCTAACAGAAATGAGTACCAGAAATTAATTAAGTAATTTCCTGGGGAGTAAAGCGCGGCTGGCACGTAAGGCTGATGACCTTACCACCATTCTTGAGCTGATTGTCTAGATAATGTGGGACCCTCAACGTTTCACAACCCTATGGGCCTTCACGGCCTGTTACAGGGATAGCTTTATTTTACTTACCTTTTTAGGTGAATCTGATTATGATTCATATCAGTCTAATGTAATGTCTAATTTACATAAAGCCCAAATTGGACTTGGCAGATTTATTCATAAATGATTCTTCATACAAAAACTGGTATGTAATGAAAGTACACAACTTTNGGGAGAAAAAACAACAACAACAACAACAACAACAACAACAACAACAACAACAACAACAACAACAGTATGAACAGTAAGGCATGAAAAACAGCAAGGAAGGTTTCTGAAAATTATATATATTCCATTGAAGTACATTTCCTATTTAGCTTTGCATATAACCAGAAACCTTCACTCTGTTATGTATGTTTATTATAATTTATTCTAATACATTACAAATTGAAATAAAGATGTGAGATTCTTACATGACAGTGATATGTGTAATGCATGTTTTGTATCTTCAGTCTTTCTGTGTCATATATATCACAGTATGGATTACAATAACATATTGACATATTTGTAAATAAAATCTGTGATTAAGATGAACTATGTGGAACACAGGTATACCGGAAAATTGCAAAATGTGGAAGAAGCAGTAAAGTTCTGACAAACGTATGCACATTGAACATATGGGAAGATTATGTCATCTTACTCTGCACAAAGATCATCCTCAAATCATACTGCATTTTGATAGAGACTGAATGGTAACTTGATGGTGCTGCTCTTGCTTAGGAAGAATACATTTTATTTACACCACAGTTCATCAGTACTAAAATATATACTAGTTAAGTAAAGAAAATACCTTAAAATTCGTTATCTTGTTGCTTGGTACCTTGCAGTCCACAATTAACACTGCAAATGATGGTTTGCCAATCAAAGTCAATTCAGATTATGATACAACCTGTATTTACCTTATTTTCATCTGTACATGAAGCACCAGCACGGACAAGAGCCTTCACCACATCAGCATGACCACCCTCAGCAGCCAGTTGAAGAGGAGTGGCCTCCGTTATGCGGTTCCGAGCTGATATCACACCTTGTCTGTCAAATTTCATGAGTTCCTCAATCACACGTATAGAACCCTGCATTGCTGCAATATGTGCACACGAGTTTCCATCCTGAAACAAATACTCAAATGTCAATCTTCATGACTGAATATCCAAAATGAAGCTGTTCCCTTGATAAAGTAACTGACACATAAATCATGAATACACTAATTTTCAGCCTACTGAGCCTTGTTCTTCTTGATAACTACATCATACTCACGCTACATTCATTAGGACTTAATTCTACAGCCAGCTGTATCATAAAAATACTTGTTAATTTTTCTTTCCACATTTGATAGAATTTCAGGAAAACTGATTACTTCTTAAATTATTTAAGAACAATCATTAATCTTCAATTCTATACAGAACCGAAAAAATAAGGTAGTTGCCCGTGAAAGCAGGTAATTGTTTGGAAAGAAGTGATGGTGGCTCATTTCAATACACTCTCCGTAATCACATGAAAAGCGCAAGGAAAACCACAAAAATCTCAATCTAAATAGCTTCACTATCCAAGTAACCAATTAAATGGTATGCAGTGGTTGACTTTCGTGAACACATTATAAAACATTCAACAAAACGAGGGAATTTCCTAAACAGCTGAATAACTAGACAGAAACACAAGAAAGGCACTTCACCACTGACTGATTCTTACATTATTTAACTCTGTTTTCTCTTTGGGTAGGTTATGATAATTCTGAGTGATATGGCAGAGTAGATGTGCAAGGTGGTTCTGGCACATTTTAAAGTACAATCCAGCATTTTTCTGATGGATTGAGGGAAACCACAAAAAACGAAATCCCAGCTAGGATATCTGGTCTCTAGTCTGACTGGAGATGCTCACCTTGGTGCAAGCCATGACAAGGGAGGGATGTTGCTGGAGAAATAGTTGAGCAACTTCAGCATAGTTATTCATGGCTGCAGCATGAATGGGTTTCTGACCACTGTCATCTGTGGCATCAATATCTGCACCCAGCTCCAACAGCAACCGGCATACTTCCAACTGCCCTGCTCCAGACGCTAGATGTAGTGGTGTCTGTTTCTTCAGAGTCAGCACATCTATCGCTGCATTGTGGTCTTGGACTAGGAACCTGTGTCACACACAGATGGTGTAATTCTTTCTTCTGTAAGATACTTGTCTTATGAGGAACTGTAGGAAGGAAGTAACTACCTTCTTGAATGCCACACAATGTTGATTGGTAAAAATATTACTGATGTTTGAGACAAATAAACTGGCTCCAGATTCAGGGACAAAGAGTAGGCCAAGTAAGCATATAGTATTTGGTGTTAGCTGCTTGTGGTGAACTTCACATTTCAGCAAATCTTAGAATGTGGTCCTTCTCTTCATGGTCACCACCATAAATACCTCAAAACTCACAAGATATGAAATTGATTTCAGGTTGGAGATCTTCATGGATGACATCAGACAGGGATAGGAGAAACTGAAGGATTTCGTACAAATTGGATATAGCCTCAGTTTTGTAAACATGTGACAAACAAAAACCAAATATCTTATGCAACTCTGTTCCAACACTATGTTTGACAACAGATATCAACTGTGTAATTAAACTGAGGAGGATGAAATGAATGGGAATACAGCATATATGAGCATAGAAGAAATACACATGAAATAGTGGCAAATACAACTGAGAGGAAGAGATCCTCAGGAGTCCTAGATACACTGTTAAGAAGAGCAGGTTATGGAGATGTGAGGACAACGACTTTAAACTAGTGGAGATATAGATCCACCATTTTTAGTCTGAGTACTAGATGGAGGTGAGTGGTCAAGCTTTGCACACATTTCGCTATACCCATGAAAAAACAGCTGCCCAGTACCCATTATATAAAAGACTGGATGGGCCCCAGACCTGATCTGGACATTATGGACAAGAGAAAAAGTTCTTACTCCTGCTGGGAAACAAACCCTGATTACCAGGGCCCAGATTTTGATGACATGTCATCTTTTTTTTTTTCTTGTATCCTATGCGATGCTCTTAAATATATAAATCTTGGATATGAGCTGCTGGTTACAGAAATGTAAATTTTATAGGTAATTTTTTGGTAAATTTTTGGACTTTTAAGGGTATTTCTTGTCATTTTTGGCCATTTTAGGGAATTTTTCTTCATGTGTTTTTCTAAATGTGAATAACTTGGAAGCGAAGTGTTCTTTATTTTCTCCTTTAGGTCATATTTCTGGATTTTTCGGTCATTTTTTAAATATTTTCAGGCCATCAAAATCCGAGCCCTGCTGATTACTCACTTGTACAGCCTGTAGTCTAATTGCTGAGCTATAGTGGATTAAATTGGCTCAGGAGAGCGTTCAATGGTTGATTTTTGTGGAGATGGTGATAAATTTTCAAGTATCATCATACAAAGTTTTAAACTTAACCAAGTAACAATCACTGTCCAAGGAAGGGCCTGAACTAGGAAGTAAGCATTTAATTTGTTAGTCAGTTGAAATAGACAATTAACTTGGTAGTCAGTTATAGAAAATTCTATCATCTGGTATATAACACCATGTAGTCCATTGAAAATTAGCCAGCATTTCAGAGGAACACACTACATCCATCTTTAGGGTCAAAGAATAAGACAAGAAAGAAACCAACATGAAACAAGTAGCAGTTAGTTAGAGGAGTGTTAATTATGTCTTACGTACCTGACCAAGTGGGCATAGCCATTGAGAGCTGCAAGATGAAGTGCTGTGCGTCCAACTCTAGACTTACTGTTGATGAATGCCTTGTGAGTAAGCAGGGCATCACACACCTGAAGGTACCCTCTATCAGCAGCAAGATGGAGGGCTGATCGGCCCTCATGGTCAAACACATCAACTCTTGCATGGTTATTAAGTAAAGTGTTCACCATCTCCATGTGCCCAGAGTGACAGGCAATTAACAAGGGTGTCCAACCCACTGAATTTTGCCTGTTCAGGGCCTTCTGGACATCAGTCTGGCTCAGATGGGACAGCATCTCCAACAGCACATCATTATTGCCTGCAAGGGCTACATAGTGGAAGGGTGTCTCCTGTGTCTGTAGGGATAATGTGACACTTTAGATTTGTAACTACCAAATGTTTTCACATAATTCATACATAGTTTTTTCCCCTGTAATTTTATCATAAAGAACTTTGGTGTGAGGTTTACATGGAGATCCATGAAAATAATCCACATGGAAAATAATGATAATTAATTTATCCATTAAAGTGAAACAATTATTCCCCAGAAATCTCTGCAGAGGTTTATTTGTATCAAATGACAGACAGCTGATTCTTCTCTGTTCTACCAAATTTAATTTTGTTACATTTCTTAATACATTTTCATCAGACACTACACATCATTCTCAATGAAATAAACCTTCAAATCCAATCACTATCTCAAAGTTATATTTGAAATTTTATTAGCATAGTAAAAGGAAGAAATATATTCTGATACTTTGCAGTGCAATTAAACATTGCAGTAAAATATCTATACCTACAAAAAATGAACACTGAGGCCAATGAAATAGCAAGGTAATAAGTAATACAATTGTAAAATCTGTGCACTTCATTGGGGTATACTTTGCAGTCATGTTTCTCCCTATACACATTTTGTTTTGAAGTGAAATTGCAGGATGATCAAGGGTTAGCCTATTGCAGCAGCAGTCTCACCTGCTTAGTTGCCTGATTCACATCGGCCCCTTCATCTAGCAGAAGCTTCATCACTCCCTTGTCACTCAAGGGCTCTTCCACTTCATCCTTAGTGATCTGAGCTGCATAATGGAGTGCCCCTGCCCCCTCATCATTCACAGCATTCACATAGTTCTTTGCTACCTCAGGACCTTTCTTCTCACGGACGAATGTGATCAGATGAGAAACAACATCTGGACGGCAACTACGACATGCTAGATGCAATGGGGTTTCTCCAGTCTGTAAATTATTTCCTTTATTAAACACCCATAAAGAAGAAGAATTATAATTATGTAAAGGTTTATGAAAATGGCTGATTCATTGCATTATTATTACACTGGATTCTGTCCACAGCCTGAAGTATACTCAATGTACAAAATATTTTGTGAGTTGGCTCTATGCCTCAATTGAGGTGACTGATTATAATTGTTTGTTTGAGAATAGGGTGTTGAGGAGAATATTTGGACCAAAGAAACATGAAGTGACAGGAGACTGGAGAAAACTGCATAATGAAGAGCTTCATAACTTGTACTCTTCTCCAAGTATAATTAGAATGATGAAGTCAAGGAGGATGAGGTGGGCAGTGCATGTAGCACAAATGGGAGAGAAGGGGAATGCATATAGGATATTGGTGGGAAAGCCAGAAGGAAAGAGACCACTGGGAAGACCAAGATGTACGTGGGTGGACCATATTATAATGGATCTTAGAGGGGCAGGATGGGATGGTATGGATTGGATTGATCTGGCTCAGGATAGGGACTGGTGGAGGGCTCTTATGAACATGGTAATGAACCTTCGGGTTCCATAAAATGCTGGGAAATTCTTGAGTAGCTGCAGATTTGGCTTCTCCTCAAAAGGGCTCAGCTCCATAAGTAAGTAAGTAAGTAAGTAAGTAAGTAAGTATGTATGTATGTATGTATGTATGTATGTATGTATGTAAGTAAGTAAGTAAGTAAGTAAGTAAGCAAGCAATATTATAATTGTTATTGGAATGATCCACTCAAGGAGGATAACATGGACAGGATATGTAGTATGAATGGTGATGAGAAATGAGTTCAGAGTTTTAGTGAGGACTTGGTGACTTAGGCGTGAATGGGAAGATAATATTGAGATGGAGCTTAAAAGAATATGAGAGAATGTGGAATGGATCTGTCTGGTTCTGACTGGACCAAGAAAGATTCCTGTGAATATGGTACCAGACTTATCTGCTCCATAAAATTGGAGATAGGATTTACCTACCATCTAAGTGATGACTAGCTTCTCAAGAAGGTCTTTGCTCCATGGAGTCAGTTGGGTTGTAATTACACAAACAGACTTTCCTTAACTGTATCTCCAAGATTAATGGAAATGATTGGAATTAAATCCAGAACCCCTCAAAATATAAATTTTAAGGCTAAAATTCTTTGTTTTGAATATGACCATTTCCACTAATCAAAATAAAAATCAGAAAAATAATACTAATAATGTGATAATGGAAAGAGAACCAACTAAAGAAACCTGACAGATAGGAAACATACCTTAGACCAGGCCAATACAAAATGTAGTCTACAAACATAATATTACCTGTCACAAATATATTTACAGATGATAATTATTTAAGTTGAGAAAAAATACTGTACTCCAACAAATCTTGTTATACTTATTTGAGTGATATTGTGATGCAGGTTAACATTAATGGATAGACACATATATGACTGCAAGAGGATGTAGATAACTAAGCTGAAAAGAGGGATTGGAAGTGGACACAAGAATTAAGTTGATCAATCCGTGAAGACAAAAGAATATAACTATTATTACCTTTGATTTGCAAAGTGGGTCTCCACCATCATCCATGAGGAGCATCAGGGTTGTTAAATTTCCATGCTTTGCAGCAACATGGACAGGTGTCTGACCATCATCTGTCTTAATATTGGGTCCCGCACCAGATTTAAGAAGCATGAGGGCACACCGGTCCCCATTTTTCACACGTGCAGCAATATGCAGTGGTGTTTCCAGCAGTTTTCCTCCTGATTGCATAATATAGACAAATCTTAGCATCCAGATCTGTACATAATAATAGGATAATGAATTATGTACATATTCAGTGTTTGATAAATATGAACACCCATTCGCCTAAAATGAGTTTATTTTTAAGCTGATAAGCACAAATTCAGAACAGGTATTTACACTAATTTACACTAATGTTTAGCAGCCTCCGTAGTCTAGGGGTAATGTTCCCACCTCATGACTCAAGGTACGCAGGTTCAAACCCGGCGGAGGTAGTGGAATTTTTAAGGGTGGAAAAATTCAGGGAACAAGTCCTCCGGGAGGGACTTTAAGCCGTGTGTCTCATGTTGTAGATTTACGGCACGTAATAGATCCTCATGTCTCTAGGAGACCTCTGAGCAAAATTCGGCAACAATTTCTCGCCCAAGTAGTTTCCAGTGCCTCTGATAGATGGGGGAAATATCAGGTACCAATGGCCGACCTCGTTTGCTGAACAGGGCTGATAGAACGCACCAGTACCAGTAGGGTATGGTGACAGTAGAAATTAAAGGGGGATGCACAATGGACCAATAACTGGTCCAAGTGCATGGGGAAACCCACCCCCTCTAATAATAATAATAATAATAATACACTAATGTTTTATGGAACAACAGATAAAACTTGGGGTTACAGTTTGTCTCAATACCATAAATAATTAATCAATGACTTTGTTGAAATAACAGCATTTATACAAAGGTTATAATCACTGAAGTGCCAGGCAACTGACTAAAGGACCTTATCTCCTAAAATGTGTTAGCAACCACGAATATACTCTCAGATGTAGACTGTAATACTCACCTTTTACATGAACATCAGCTCCATACCCTAGCAGAGTCTCTACCACAGTTGGCTTGGCTGACTCAACTGCAATGTGGAGTGCTGTGTAGTTGTCCTACAATTTGGAATGTGCAGTAACATTAAATACCTACTCTTAAGAGATCGGAATGTAGAGGGGCAGTTGGAAAGTCTCCCCCATTTCCAACATTTGCCAGTGTATACACCAGATGTTCAATTTATAAACATCAAATGAATTAATTTTTGAGTATATACATATTTTTGAAAAAATCAATATCCCTTTTTCAACACATGCAATGAATCTTCACTAAAATGAAAATAATATGCCAATTTGTTTCCAACCCTGTCTGGTCTTGTATGTCTACCAATGAGTGCATCACTGCCTGATGCTTTTGGGCAGTACAGCTTAATATTTTATCTGATTGTTCCTTTTGTCCTTACAGGGTACTAATCACTTGCAAATAATTATACTTCATTATGATTAATAAATATATATACATGTGCATGTGCATGCATGCGTGTTTGTGACCTGCTGACTTTTCTTCACAATTATTAAAATACCCACCTTTAGCCCTCATTTGCTATTTTGAAACTAAAAGTTCTGGGAAAACTAACTGCCTACTTTCCTTTGATATGGCACAGACTGTGTAGAAAACACTGTGCTCAGCATCGTGATCTCATAAGCCTACTATTAAGTAAGCTACTTAATACCAAATAGCAGGCTTATGACATCTGCTTGCTGTCTGTGTCTGTACATGTATCCCCTGCCTAACGCTGCTAGGCAATGGTTCAGTAAAAATGTTCTGGCAACAAAAAATACACACACAACTGAAAAACTGTTGGACACATCACTTTCTATGCAATGTATGTTGTATCAATGGGAAGAAAGTGATTGGTTCTTGCTGGAACTTCTTGTCACTCTATCTTAACTTCTTCAAAGTCATTGACACTGTCATCATTGTCGTAATCATCTTTATCACATTCATCATCATGTAGCACTCACAGAGAGGGGCTACTTATTAGCCTGTTCCAACCTAATTCATTCAGTAATCTTTTCGTACCCTTTCAGTGCCTTGACCAATGTGGTTTATAATTTTTAACAGTTTCAAATTCTGTTTCTTTGCATTCTATTGATATGTTAAATCTAGTTGGCTTAATATTTCAAATTTTCTTCCAATATAGCTTCTTGTTTTTACATTTTTTATTACCTCTTCTTTTCTTTCATGATCCACCCAATTATATTTTGCCATGTGTCTCATAAATTTAATTGCAGTGCCTCTCTTTCTACCCTCGCTTTTAATCCTTACTGACTGCTCTTAATTATGGGAAATTTGTGTTTAACAAATGAAGAAGTCTCAAGGAAAGAATCCCTTTATAAAAGAGAATATGTTATTACACAAGATACAGAAACTTGTGTGTTGTAAAGAATAAAATATACAATATTTTAATAAAACTTCATAATTTATAGTCTTCAGAAAATGTTATTTGGGTGATAAAATCAAGGATGGACAGAGAGACTTAAGCCTAAATGGGAAGATAATAGTAAGATGGATCATATGCCAAAAGGATTGTAGTGTGCAGATTGTATTTCTGTGGCTCATAAGAGGATCCAGTGGCAGGCTGTTGTGAACATGGTAACAGCCTTCGAAGTTCCATATTATATCAATAACTTTTTTACTAGCTGAGTGACCATTGACTTATTAAGGAGGAGTCTGTTCCATGGAGTCAGTCAGTCAGGATATGGAAATTCTTTGCTATAATTTGTCCAAATACATTCAAGAATTCTTTATTTTGACAAGATTACTGATAATTCTGTATCAGTTAAATGGGTAATTTAGTATAAACAGATATGAGTTGACTACATATGCTTAATTGCGAAGGATGATCACAGCTTATTCAAAATTTTGTCTGGAAAATCTAATGAACACCGTAAAAGAAACCTGGTGTAACTCTCATTACCACTGACCCAATCTGCTGGCTGCAGGTTGGCTTAACTTATTAAGTTTGGCTCAGTCATAGAGTACTTGCCTTGCATGCAAGAATTACTTAATTTGAATATAAACAGGTGACCAACAATCTTGACTGAGGTTTTCCTTGGTGTTTACCAATTCCTTCAGAGTATGTCCAGAATATGCCATGTCTACTTCCTTTCACTCTGTCCTAATACACCTACCATGATTGCTGTCATCATAATCCACCGATATTGTCACCATTGTGGGTCATGTTTTACAAAGCCACTCTTCTGCTCACTTCTGTGTTCATTCTTCCTCTATTTTAAGATCTTGCACCTTGTTTCAGATCTTTCTTTTTTTGTGCACACTGTAAACTTCTTATCTGCTACTTTTAATCTACTCTGTTAGTCCTTGTCCAAGTTTATACTGCCATATGTCAAGACAGAAAAGAAGCCCATTTCACATTTGTCAAATTAAACATATCCCTATTCTAATTAAGCACCATGCTATGGAGATGAACGGGGAAAAGGAACTATCACTCCACACATTCTAAACCTTGGCACTACACGACTACACAAAGACGAGCGATCAGCTTCAAGCTCTGTCAACTTCATGTCTGGGGAAAGGGCATCCTCATACCCAACACACAGGAGACAGGGTAGGCACCACAGCTGATCTGGACATTATGTAATGCTGCAAAATAAGTGCATTCTAACTTACATGTGTTCCCACCAGAGTGCAAAATGTTGCATGCTGTGTCCACTATCAATAGCTTGTGGGATGGTAGTGCAGTCATAATCTCTGGAAGGCTGACTGTGCAGAAACTATCTGCAGAAGCATTATATGGTTAAACAATAGTGCAAAGTGCAAAAACATGAACTAAACAATGTCTCACACTTCAATGCTGACATGTTAAATATGTGTTATGTTATGGCCACATAGCAATATACATGTGGCAGTTAAAAAAGAAAAAGGACATCAGATACATGCATATCTATCTTTATGTGTGGAAAATGCTGACAGACCTATGTCATTCAAAATTCAATTTCATTCACAAATTTAAATACAGCTTAATGTAAGAAATTTTATTAGACTGGAAGAAAGATTTAAGAGTTACTCGTACAACATTTGGTAAGATTCCATTTTAAAATTCGTCTTCTGGCAACAGTGATGGACTGCTCTTGTAGTATAGAATATACTCATAATGTTCTTCATATACATTATGTTGAATTTCATCAGAATCAAATGGTGAACTCTGTGGTTTTAGTCCACAAGCGAACATTACCGACCGAGGTGAAGTTAGTGCCAACTTCAGTGGATGGAGTGTGTCATGTGGTCAGCACAACAAATCCCCATGGCCGTTAATTTCGGTTTTCTAGACCGGAGAATCAAATGATACAGGTTTAAAAAGGGATTACAGCAAATTCTTTATTCTTGTTAGCAATAATTTTTGTGTATTTCTATGTACTTGTGCTATCTTTGTAATTGGCCTCTGTGCTGTTAAGTTTGCATGTAAATAAACATGAATTAAACTGAAATGAACAATGATGAACCCAAGGACTGAAAATAAAATTTACTCAGCATGTTTGCCGGTGCAGGTGAATGTTACAATTTTGGTTTCGAATTACAGCAGTTTTCATCTGCCAGACAGACTCCTATTGGAAATTCAATTCATAATTATCAGGTTAGCAGCCTCTGGTGCTTGAAAACCAGAACATATGGATTTACAACATTCCAAATTTTCTTATAAAAATGTAAAAAATTCTTAATCTAGGTTGGAAAGATAACATAATACACTGAACTAATAAATTTGGAGATTTATAGTATGGTATATTACTTATTAGGATGTTTTCATATTCATGAGGCAGCTGTAAATCAAGTTCCAGATACAGTTATACAAAATACATAATTCTCAAATGTTTGGAAGCAGAGACTGCCTCCTTTTCCTGGCAAAATTAGCAAGCTAGAATAGTCAAGTTTCTGTTTGAACTTCCACTTTGGGCATGAGTCAGGCTTGTTATTAGTTCAAAATAAATTTCATACCAATTTAAATAAAATAGCATCTTTGAAGATTAAATAAAATTCAGATAATATTAGGGGTGATAACTTCTGGTCACCCCAAGCACTCAGACTGAGATAAAGGGTTACATAATTTTGCCCTGTATTCTGATGACAGCACAAAACTTATAGGTGCACCTAGTACTTGTGTGTACATGCAGAAAATTTTACTTGCTGTAATAAAATCCTGACCTGTTTCTCAGTTTCTTTCTATACTTCATTCAACAAATTATCATCCACTGAATAGCAGCATACACTACCATATGATAAATTCTGGTCAGGCATGTTTTAATTTTTCCTTTTAATCATGCAAGAGATGTGGTAAAACCTGTCTAAAATAGGACCTAGAGTTACTAGAAATCTCATTTAATGATAAAATATTTTCTTATATTCACTGAATAAATGAAAACCAATGTAAAAGTACCTCTAATAAGAATACATTGTTCAAAAAAATACAGAAGGAAAAATTAATAACGTGATTGGAAGCATTCTATTTTAACTCTTATTGCATTCTAGTCATAATATGTTGTTCTGTACTGTGTCTTCTGACATGTGCACGTGGAAGAACAGTGCTGTCTCAAATGGGGAAAAATTGGGCCAAATTATTGATAAAATTGGTGTAGGATCCTTTACTTGCCTACTGGAAGAAATCTTAAGAGCGGAGAAAAGTTAGAGGAGGGGGAGTGAATATTTTTACTACTTCGTAACAATGTACGAGTAATGTACTGCGCAACATATTCTTTTTGTCATGAAGTAGGCACTTGAATTATATGCAAATTTGTCTCTAACGATGAATTGTTCAGGACCATTGGAATTCAATTACACGTGGATTTTACTATATACTGCGTCTATTTCATCACATACTGAGCAGACAAATGGAAATCTGAAGAGAAATAAAACGCAACTAAAAATTATGCGTTAAAATTTCCCACTCACATTGGTAGTGACGTCAACCTTCTCCCCTTTCTGAAGAAGCGTGTTGATGATACCAACATGACCATACCGTGCAGCCGTATGGATGCTTCGCGCACCTCCCTGGAACAGTGTTACAGTTAAGAACGCACAACTTATTCACTATATGTTTATTCCTCCGATCACTGAAACAAAGCAGTTACCTTATTTTTCCGTTACCTTATTCGGCATGTGTAAATAGACTCCTTTCTTGAACAACATCATCGCACATTCAGCATGCCCGTTGAGGGATGCGATATGCATGAGTGTGCTGCCATCTTTTGTACGTTCAAAGATTGATGCCTTGTACTTGTCAGCCAGAAGTTCAATTATCGTAGCATGTCCATACTCTGCTGCCAAATGCATAGGAGTTCGATCTGTGGACACATAGCGCAGTATTTAAACTTTATCCTCTGTTCCCAAGGATTATGGTCTCTGATTTGTTCCGGTTCATAAATTATAATGACGCGGGGAATTTTATGGACATTTGTTAAGACTACTTCGACAGACGATATACAATCGCAAGAAAAAAATACCGAGAAACTCAGACAAACGCCTAGATCAAGTTCCTGAGCGAGATATGAAGCCGCTATCACAGTGTTCGAGCGGGCCTCATTAAGGGGCCCATACACGTACAAGTCCGGCTCGGCGAGCTTGACTCGGGAGCCGGGCTCGTATTAATTTCGTCACAAACGCATAAGCTAACTCCCAATTTTGTGACCCCCACACGGACGAGTTTGGTTCATTGGAACCCGAGCCGAGTCGGACTCGCGAGCCAGACTCGTACGAGTATGGACCCCTTTGCACTGCACGGCCATAGCAATTGGCATGTAACCTTGCCTGTAACATCGTTTGGGATTCGTCACCGTCAGACTGTGACGCAATCGTTGCGTCATTCTAAGAAATCTTATGGATCTGACTTTGGAAACACGATGGCTACCAAAAGCGCCATACCAGAGATTTCATTCAACAAACAAAACTTTCTCCTAAGATTGCCTTGTCAGGGTATGACCTTTGTGGAAGAATAAAAGCATACATCGTAGCAAGCATAGCAAGCACATATCTGTACGGTGATAAGCCCTGTACAAATCGCGACGGATTTATCCTATGCAAGTAGCGTGCTTTTCTGCCTTTGTCTTTAGAAGACCAAACATACGGAAACATACATCGAAACGTCGTCATTCTGATCTGCGTTGATAAGAATAAAGGTAGAATCCGGGCCAGTCCGAATACATTGAAGTTTTCCAGAAAGTTTAATCGCATTTTTAACTCTCTCTCTCTCTCACCCCCTCCCCCCACATACGCACGCGTACTTACACAGATTTAGAATGGGTTAGAACTATGGTCGTTTCTGGTAATGAAATTATTTGCAAAGGCGATACTGACAAAGAAGTCCTGTGCTTAATTAAGCAGAATGCCGTGATGAAAACTGGGAGAGTGATGAATAGCTTCAAGTATTCTAGACACTAACTAGATGGAGGTGAGTGATTAGTTTCAAGCCCCCATCGCTTTAGCACTGGAAGAGTCTACAGTACACACTGTATAGGAGGGGCCCAAAACCAAGAATGACTGTGCTGGCGAAGACCAGCGGCAATTTACTGCTATGGACTCCACGCCAGTTCTGGGAACAACACACCTTCCAAAGTTATTAGAACAGGGTCATAGTTACGAATGTACCTTGAGGCTGTTTGGTTTAGATGAAAAGGGGTTGGGCATGTGAACTCATTTGATCTGACTCAGGATATTTTTTTGTGGCAGACTTTGGTGTTGCCAGTTGCACAAAGAACAAACATGTGGATCCGTTACTGAGTTATTTCTCAGTTCGCTTCTCCACACTATTTTTTTTACTGCTAGTGGGGCGGGACTAAGTCCCTTGTACTGCGGCCACTTTTGGCCTATTGTACCAGCCCCAGATGATAGGTGAGGGTGATTGTGGAGCGATTTGTGGAATGAAGATTGGTAGTGGAAACCGAAGTACTCGGAGAAAACCTGCCCCAGCGCCACTTTGTTCACCAAAAATCCCACTTGACCAGAACCGCGATTGAACCCGGGCCGCCGGGGTGGGAAGCCAGCGACTAACCGCTTGAGCTACGGTGCGGCCCTTCTCCACACTATAGTACCTATACACGGATTGTTCACAAGGGTTAATATCATCTGTTATTTTACTTACCCTGATTGTCCACAATGGAAGCGTTCGCTCGAACTCCATAGAAATACTTCACTAACGTTTCGTCTCCTTCGGCTGAAGCTATATGCAGCGCCGTCTGGCCCTCTCCCTGCAGATAAAGATAGTTTTATTTTTCACAAATCCCATCTCTACAAACACATATACAGGATATAATCAGCAAGTCTATAATCAGTTTGCTTGTACCGGTTCTCACGGTCTCTTGGCTTGCGGATTTTCTTATTTTTCCTTTTACCCTGAGGATGGAGGCGATACGTTCCTCAGAAACGTCGGTTAACACATCTACACGGTGCCACATTCCCAGAAGACTGCTTTCTTCAAAAATTTATGATGATGACGTAATGATTCACGTCATTATCTGATGATGACGCGCTCTTAGTGATGTATATAAATATAAATAGGCACTATGTGTTCCAAAGCTAATTAGCACTACAGATATCACACATATGAATATTCAAATTCTTCTACTGGTAATACTAACCAATAACGCAGATGTTATGCTTCGTAGATGAAGAAATATTTTTCTTCTGATCTATTGTATACTAAACATTCTGAGAAATATTTCTAATACACCCTCCACGGAGTCTCTATCATATATTAAATTCGACGAGTCTTTATATAGAAATATCACGAAGTTCACATACTGGGCTGATATGATTTCATTGAAATTCGTCCTACAATCATCGGTGTAGATTCAAAAAGAAATTTTAAAATATTCCGCAGAATCGTCACGGAGATGCAACATGTGGGAGGAAAGGGGAAATGAACATAACCTGTCTATTAGGTCTCTATATCAACTTCATACACTTTATGCAAAAACACTGACATATAACACCGAAGATATTGTCACGTGTTAGGTATGTCACGCGACAAATGACTTCACTATTGAAGACAAAATTATAGTTTTGTATATTCTAATTTTTTGCTGTTGATTATATGGGTTTAAAAGTAAAATAACTCGATGACGCCCAGTGTCACGCTAATTATACAGAATTTCGTACTAATTGACGTACATAATATTCTGTTTCCGAAATCAGACAATTTTGGTCTAGGAGTTATTAGAATTGTGAATTTTAGAGATATTGCTCATACAATATGGTCTTAAATGTATATTATAATAATTTTCGCGAGATACCATTGTAACAAGACGTGCATACAGAAATATGCCAGTTCCTGAAGACACCAAAACGAAACCGATTAAAAGTAAAAATTCTCATCACATTACGTTTCACACATAGACCTATAAGGGTGTAGATGCCTTTCACATCCAGCTCGGATGGAGATCACATGATTTTGGTTTGGTAAAGTGACTACTTTGGAGAAAGGAAGATAAATGTGTTACCTTGTGATGGTGCTTAGGAAGGTAGCTTGTAAAAATAGGTTGTAGACGGACGGAAGGACGGGATTTGGTGTTAGCTGCTATATGGCCAGTGGTTAGAGGCTTTGAACTGAGATTTAATTTACCGGAATATCAGTTTGTATGTTGCAGCAGTAAACAAAAATGTCTACTTTGTTACATGGAACAGTGGACACCTGAATTCTAGTTCTAAAATTGAAGAGTAAATAAATATCACACAAAATCTTCCGACTGCTATCTTGAATGCAAAGAATATGTCACTTATGTTTATTTAAGTTATTTATTTTTATTTATTTGATTATTTTTATATTTATTTTAAGTTATTTAAGTTGTTCAACTCTTACAGTACTAACACTTAATGCTGGATTAACTCTTCAAATCACAATACGTACTATACGTAATATACGATTTAAAATGTAACAAGTTAGGAAATGTAAACATAGTAGCTAACAATTCTGGCACGTTGTTATTTTTTCTACATATTATATTAGTGAACGCTAGTTCCGTTGCTCCATTGTGCTAATTAATAGAGTAAATTTGGCGCTTCACAGCAAAACACTGAAAAGGGCATATTCTGGAACACTGTTATGTAAGAGGTCAAGATCGCCTCCTTCCAGAACATAATCGAATCCCATTCTGTACCAATTTCTTGCCTCATTCGATACTAATGCAGCCTAGCTTCTATAGTCGAAATATATTTGATAAGTAACTTAAAAATAAAACCCGAAAATAGAACAGAAAAATAAGTACCAGTTTTATTTCTTTAGATATTTCATAGTGCAAAATTAGACTCTATTGCGTTTACTAAGGAAATTAGTGTAAACTGACCTGAAACATAATGAAGATGGGAGTGCTAGAAGAATCTATTTGTTCTTCTATAGATTAATTGAGCCCAGAAACACTACCAAATTACAATATTTGACAGAAATTTAAGTTTGTATACAAAGGCTAGAATAATTATCTTCACGAACTTCTTGAGAAACGAAGTAGATTTGCTAGTCCTAAAAAACCCCATCTTTTACGAAGTCCGAAAATTCATTACCGTGTTCGCAGAAAACTTTCTCTGGATCCTATCCAAAGTGACGTGAATCCAATCCACATCTCACCACTATGCTCCTTTAAGATACATTTATATACTAACCTCTCACTTACGCCAAGATAACCCTAGGGGTTTCCCGCTTAAATTTTATGTATATTCTCATGTTTCTCTAGCGTGTTATATATGTGCCACCCTTCTTAACCTACTCAATTTTGTCAGTACAATAACATTTGATGAAAGAACCGAATATTCACCAAACTTTATTAGGATGATCAAATTATAGGATATTCCACAATTTACAATAGAACATAAAATGTACTTCACAAATTCTCAAAGCCTCCACGTTAAGGTTAAGGTCTAAACCTTTCTGAAATTTGTTTATATTCCAAAGTCATCGAGAAGAATCATCAAGTCGAACCTTCTGAAGACAAAAGCCCCATTCTTAAGTAATCATGAGCCCTGACTTTCAAAATTACACTCTCCAAATTTAATCAAAACCTATGTAACCTAATGTTGCGGGTAAGGTCGAGACCACGATATTATTCTAATTACAAACGACACAAATATTTTATATAACTCATTGTATCACAGCGTACGACGTGACAGAATTCTAGCTCTGTGTGATCCCTTCAACTTTTGGCCAGCAACTGAATCCCCTGAAGCGTTTTAGCTCTTCATTTACATCCACTCTGCAGAAGGCAACAAGAGATAAAGTCTATGTTTATTTTTAGTGAAGTAAAAGGTGCCGCAAAAAGTTATGCCATCTCAGTGTAAGAATGACGTATATGATACTGAAATGTCAGATGGTCATGGCGTGCAACCAATGAGAATACTGGTAAGAAATATATATGTAAGATGACTGAGGTGAATTATTTTCTGAAAACAGTCTCTTCTTAAATTATGTTGGTTATAATTCCTCCCTCTTGTTGGATATAAAATTGGAGGGTACAGATGGAATTCGACCCCTGCTCTTGGCGCAGTGACTCTGCATGCAGTGTGTAGTAAGACAGGATACGTAAGTCCACTAGTAAATGTAATTACTCCGACAATATATAATTAATACAACTTCATACGATTTATAAATTTTATAGGGAGCATTTTCCAATCAGGGTTTACGTACATAAAGTTAAGAGCAGATTCAGTTCAGCAAAAGCAAGCCACCACTGAGTTCAGAATATATTTCCTCCTTTCTTTTACCTACATTTCAAAGATAAAAATATATAAATCTAAAATTTTACCTTCTCTTTTGTATTGGTATGAAACTTGTTCTTACGCACTAATAGAAGACTATAGATTGAAGGTGTCTGAGGGAAGTATTAGGATTTAAGAGCGAGAAAATAAGGAGGAGGACTGGGGAAAAGTACATAGTGAGGAGCTTTATATTCTGAAATTATCACTAAAGATTATCAAGGAGATTATGTCATGAAGGATAAAAGCGGTGAGGTATGTAAAGCATACGAGTTAACTAAGAAAGGCATACACAGTTTTAACCCGACAATCTGAAGGAAAGAAATACTAGGAAAGATAATATTAAAATAGTCCTTATAGAATAGGGTGTGAGGATGTGGAATATATCCATCTGGTTTAGGATAGCGTCACGCAGGTTCAGCAAAAGCTGATTATTTCTATCAGCTCCCCCCTCCAAAAAAAAAAAAAAGCTCAAAATAATGGTATCATGTCATACTGTAAAAACAGTGGAAACAAGCACACTTACTCCAGTTTGAAGAATATATATTTTCCAAAAGCGTTTTTTTCTTCAAAATATGCAGCTCCAGTCCGTTTTGAGGTTACTTATTATTATTATTAGGGGTGTGACTATAAACTGGGTATTGACTGGTCAATGGATCTATTGACCACTCATACACACCGCTCGGAACTGCTAGTTGTTACAGCGCTATCGAAAATCTCCACACTTTACGAATCACCACAGCACTCGCTAAACATTTTTCAGCCTGCTGTGTCTTCATCAGCCGTTCCCTGGCAACGGCTTCTAAAAGTGGAGATTCTTCAGCTTCATGCGCTCAGATTCTATCTTCACAATCTCCCGTGCAGAACTCAACTCTCAGCTCTTTCAGCTGACAACCGGCTACAGCGCCATCTCTGTTATTTCCCTTGCAGAACCCAACTTGCATTCCTAGACGTGGACCGAGTAGACAACACCCTGTTTCCCACGTGGCATGCATAACCGTTACCGCGAGAACATTTTTACAGAGCCGTTTCCCAGAAACGGGTCTGATATAACTGCCCATTTCACATTCGTTGCATAGCTCTGTTGTTGCAGAGGAAAATTTACTGCTTCGTCCCACAACAACGGCCACTGTCCGTTGTTTGCTTCGAGGTTACTGCCCAGCAACGGGTCTGTACGCCACATTACGCAGGCTTGAAGTACATCATATCAGAGCGAGTGTCACATACAAATTGCAGAATTTTATGTGATATAACTTTTATGATGGTATAGTTATTATTTCGGAATTAAAAATGTTTTTAATGTTCCGTTTTACATGCAACACTTTCTAAAAATTTGTTCAAAATTTACTACATATACATAATGAGTCTTTTAAACATATTTAAAAACCACTGTCCATTACATGTTTCGACCATCATTGGTCATCATCAGGTAATTAAAACTGTTTTGTGGAGACTGCTGCGCTTGCGCTTTTCTTCTAATGTAGGATGCGCAGCCCCATTATACATT